ATCTTTTTGTGACGAACACTTGCTTTCGCCACAAGAGGATTCACATGTATACTTGAGAAAGAGGTGGCGATAGAAGCATGATAGATTTCATAATTGTGGATGAAAGATTGAGGGGAGCAGTGGTAGACACGAGAGTTTACCGGGGTTCTAACGTAGGAACGGATCATTATTTAGTTTTATGCCGAATAATTGGTCTATTCAGGCGTTGGCGTCATCGATCGTCTGTGTCTACCAATGCGTTACAGCGTATTAGAACAGAAAGGTTACAAGAAGAAAGTGATAAAAACAAGTTCAAATGTTTACTGAAAGAAAATATAAGTGATTTGGATGAATTATGTATGAAGGAGTTAGACTTGGAGAATGTATGGCAAAATGTAAAGAAAGGTTTAGTGGATGCAGCTACCAAAATATGTGGTGTTAGTAAGAGAAAGAATGAAAGGAAAAATAATACGTTATGGTGGGATGATGAGATACATATGGAAGTTGAAGGAAAGAAGAGAGCATGGCTAGATTTACTATAAACAAAGTGGTGATATTGAAAGAAAAAAGGCAGTCTTTAGACATCTTAATAAGAGAGTAAAAGAAGTAGTTGAAAGAAAAAAGCAAGAAAGAACGGATAAGAATGATAGAAGAATATCGGATAACTTCCAGGAAAATATTAAAATGTTCTGGAAACTTGTAAGAACTGCCAGGGGACGTTCAAAACAGCCTATGATGAATGCTATAAGAGACGAGAATGGCTATATTCTGAATGATGAAGTTTTGAGTTTAAAGAGATGGAAGGAATATTTTGAAAGCGTGTTTATGAGTGAGGAGACAACGTGTGTACTAAGTGAAGTAGAAACACCGAAAAAAGAGGAAAGAGGTAGCGAGAAGTATAGATGAAATAATGAAAGCAATGAAAAGCATGAAAGCAGGTAAGGCTGCCGGATATGATAGAGTTTCACTCGAAATGCTAAGGGCTGGAGAGAAAGTGGTGGCAGGCCTGCTGCACACCTTGTTTAATTTATGCTGGGAACTGAAGCGGGTACCGGTAGACTGGTGCAAAGCCGTGATAGTCCCAGTATATAAAAGAAGAGGGTCGCAGCAGGACTGTAAAAACTACCGTGGCATCAGCCTTCTTAGCATTGTGGGAAAACTGTATGCTAAGGTACTGATTGAAAGGGTCATGAAAGAAACTGATGGAAAAATTTTGGAAGTGCAAGCGGGATTTAGAAAGGGAATGGGATATACAGATCAAGTCTTTTCCATGCGCATGATCGCGGAGAAGTTTCTGGCCAAAAACCAAAAGGTTTTTTGTGCGTTCATGGACTTGGAAAAGGCCTATGACAGAGTGGATAGGGATTTGCTATGGCAAACACTGAACTCATTTGGGTTGAGCGCTGGCTTGATACAGGCATTGGAGTCTCTTTATAGGGACTCTAGTGCTTGTGTTAGGATCAACGGGGTCTACTCGGACTGGTTTGATATCCAGAAAGGTGTCAGACAGAGCTGTGTGGCTTCCCCGTGGCTGTTCAACCTATTATATAGTTGTTTGCAAAATTTGAAAGTTGAAGAATGCGGATTAAGAATGAGTGAGTTAACCGTCAAATGCCTTTTGTACGCCGATGATCAAGTTATTCTTGCATCGTCGGCGGCCGAGTTGCAAATGATGGTTACATTAATGAACGGATCATTAAAAGAAAGGGGTATGAAAGTGAACGCAAGTAAGACGAAGGTTATGGTTTTTGAAAGAGAAGAAAGTAAAACGATTTGTGAAATAAGAATAGAAGGGGAATTGATCGAGCAAGTAGATGAGTTTGTATATTTGGGCTGCGTATTTAGCAGGGATGGGAGATATGATAAGGATATAGAACGACGAGTGAATGCGGGAAATAGAGTAAATGGGGCCTTGCACTCTATTGTGAAGAGTCAAAATGTGTCGAAAAAGGCACGTATGGCAATTCACAATGCTGTGTTGGTCCCTACTTTAACGTATGGTAGTGAAAGTTGGGTGTGGCAGAAGAAGCACGAGAGTAGAATAAACGCAGTATAAATGCGGTCGTTAAGGAGTATGTTAGGGCTGAATCTGAATGACAGGGTAAGAAATTGTTTAATAAGAGAAGAGTGTGGTTTGCAAGATGATGTTGTGACCAGGATTAAGAAAGGAATGCTTCGGTAGTTTGGTCATGTGGAAAGAATGAATGAGGAAAGAGTGACAAAGAAAATTTATGGTGCAGAAGTGAATGGCAGAGTCAGAAAGGGACTTCCTAGGCGAAAATTTATCGACCAAATCGGCGATTTATTAAAAACGGGCCAAATTAGGAGTACCCTTAACCAACGAGCATGTATGCGTAGGTGTATGGATGTGAAGGTGGCAAGAGAAGTGTGTCAGGATCATGCCAAATGGAAGTCTGTAGTCTCTGCCTACCCCTCTGGGTGACAGGCGTGAGTGTTTATGTTATATGTTATGTTATAAAAAAACACTTTTTTTTGAAATTTTTCGACAACGATAACTTTCGAATTCGAGGAATTTTATGAACAATAATAAGATATATTAAAAAAAGGATTAGCTATAATTAAAAAAATATGTGAGAAAACACTTTTTTCAGAATTTTTCAGTAAGGATTTCTCTTTTTTTATAAAATAAAGGTGACAAACGAGCACACAGTCCACTTGATGGTAGGTGGATACTGTGGCCCATAGACATCTACATCTATCTTCAATTAAGAATCAAAATCCAGATGTGGTAACACCCCTGAGAACTGAGATGGAATGTCTCGTTTCTAGTGAAAAGGGTCTCCGTTTCTCTATACTCACCATACGATATAGAGCTGCATTAAGCTGCTATTTTATGCTGATATTCTGTGAGAGTGTGGTCCTACCCCGGCCGAACCAACATATTCGTGCTGCAAACACAATATAGCTGCAGCGTGGCTCTACCACGTAAGAAATCACCTCTTCATCATCTATCTCTTGAACACATCCAACGATTTTGGTGCAGTTTACAGCAATCTGCAAAGCTGATTAAATTTCGGAATTATTTGTTACATCTGTTTAAAAAGGATTTTAAAAAAATCATTATTTTTTTTAAATTATTTTTGAGATTTCTCAAAATCTAGTGGTCCGAATCGGTTCAGATGGTATAGAAAATCTAAGTTTGGTGAAGCCCTCTCAAATGCCCCCCGAGTTCGTTCAAATCGTTGAAGCCATTCAAAAGTTATGAGAGGATTACATACATCCATACATTACACACACACCCACCTGCAGATATAATGAGATCCTAATAGAAATATTCAGAACGGCTTCCTAGGATCTCAAAACGTGGAAATCTGATGAGAAATTGATTTTCTAAAACCGGGGTGAAACCAATAACTTTCCGATTTTTTTAATCTTTGATTTTCAGAGCGGTAAGTTAAAATCTCACAAATAGACTATTTTCTCCCAATAGTTATAAATTCATCTTATAAAATAAATGCATACATATAAAAGGTCTAAACAAGCTCTCTATATCTACGTATTCCTTAAATTTAGGTTAATTTGTCGGCTTAGGTAAGTTTGTATGCTTTAAGTCACGGCTAAGTAGGTAGCGTTTGAGTATTTAGCCATAAGTAACTTAAGCTTATAATGTACTGTACCGACACAGTACCTTACTTTTTACTTTAGAAGAGTCCCGCTAGGCTTGTTCTTCGTTTATCCCGGGATAGAGGGTTTTTCCCACTGGTTCGATAGTAAAGTATGATTGTCTTTCAATAAATATTCTTATAGTTTATGTTGAATAAAAAATAAGCTTTTCTATTCTATTCTATTCCATTCTTTTCTGTTTTAATCTGTTTCATTCCATTCTATTCTATTCTATCCTATTCTATTCTATCCCATCCTATTATATCCTATCCCATTCTATTCTATCCTATCCCATCCATGCTATTTTATCCTATCCCGTCTTATTCTATCCTATCCCATTCTATTCTATCCTATCCTATCCCATTCTATTCTATCCTATCCTTTTCTATTCTATTCTATTATATCCCATACCATCCTATTCTATTCTACTCCATTTGATTATGTTCTATTGCATTATATTCCATGCAATTTTATTCTAATTCCCCAGCGAAAAAGGCAACAATGTCGTATTGCTACATATTAAGATAGTGTCTTACAGGTCTCGGGTATGGGTGCAGTGACTGGCCGTCAAAATGAACCGCTCGCTGATGATGGAGCCACCGCAATGCCACTGGAGTGCATCCACGTCACTGCCAAACCCGAGCAGAGCCTGGAAAGATAAATTCATCAGTCTCCTAGCGGTTAAATCTTTGGTCCATTGGTTGGATGTTAGCGGGAAAAGGAAATCCGTTACTCCATTTTTTATAGAATAAGGACACACACACACACAGCTCACCTGATGTAAAGTGGATACTTCGACTCATAGACAATCTACATCTATCCTCAATTAAGAACCAAAATACATATGCGTTGTCATCCCTGAGAAATAACATGGAATGCCTTTTTTCAAGTAAAATGTGTCTACGGCTCTATACGCTCACCATACGAATTACAGCAGCATTAAGCTGCTATTTTACGCTGGTATTCTGTGAGAGCGTGTTCCCTTTCTAATCGAACTGAACCATTCGTGCTACAACTATAAAGTTGCTCTTTCACATTTTTTCATCCTAATCCATTTTTACACCGAACATTGTAAAATCTATTTTATTGTATACTGTTACTGTGGGAAAATATCTCGCTGGGTTTCTTGCAAATTCTTCCCAGGACAAAGTTATCCGAACCACTGGTCAAAGTAAAAATCATTTTTATTCAATATAAGATTATAAATAATACTTGTTTGCCACTGGTTCGGAAAATACATCTGATCTGGGAAGAAAAAACCCAGTTGGATATTTACAATATTATATAATGTTACAAAATTAACTACACAAAACAAATAAGAAATAGCTTGGTAGCGATCACCTCATTTCCAGGGGTTATTATCATCCATAAACTCAATATAATCCTTACTATATTGAAAAAAAAAATAGAATAGAATAAACGGGAGAAACTTGTGTCTAAAGTCGAAACTTACGAACTTTGTTGAACAAAGTCTCGGACTGGAGAGCGGCTAAATCTAGTTTAGTTCTATCACCAGTAGACGCAAGTTTGCGCGTTTACCGCTAAAAAGAACCCCTTCGTCGTATCTCCTCATTTTCAAGGCACTCTCCTTGTTACCTCAGTCAGTATCGAAATCCTCGGCGTCGACATATTGACTGACGTGCAGTTTCATGGTCACTTGGAAGAAAAGGCCAAATTGGCTTCTAATAAGATTGGCGTGCTCAGCAGAGCGGGATAGTATTTCATGACGGCACAACACCTGCAACTTTACAAGGCGCAGGTTCGGCTGCATATGAAATACTGTTTCCATATCTGGGCTGAGGCTCCTCAGTACCAGCTCCTTCCATTTCATCTCATCCAGCGCAGAGCTGTTCGAATCGTCGGTGACCGAGCTCTTTCCTCTACTCCTTTTTAAAAGGCCGGCAACGCATCTGCAATTCTCCTGGTGTTGCAGCTGTTCGTGGGCGGCGGTAATCACTTACCATCAGGTAAGCCGTATGCTCTTTTGCGTATGCCCCCGCTCCTATAAAAAAGAATTAAATATTTTTGAAGCGAAAACTTCCTTAGAAAAAGGGAAAAAGACTGAATTCGCCTGACAGTCACGTTCAGACACATATATCAGTGAAACTAAGAAGTTTGAACTTCTGACGTGCAGTCCTACGACTGAAAGTTTTTTTTTCAATTAAATATAGATCACATGTAATTTTCAGTAAAAGTCATTTATACTTTTAACACTGATTCGGAAAAAAACCTCTGTCCTGGGAAGAACCAGCAAAAACCCAGCGGACTTTGAAATAAATATATACAATAACAAAGGTTGTGCAAACTACTTTTAAAATTTATTATTACAGCTTAAAATGAAAATAAACAAATCTTTCATTGTATTCAACAAGCCGGAAGTAATTCTTCCGGCTTGTTGAATTTGTTGGCACGAGGTTGGTTTCAACCTAGACGAGCTCCTAGACAAAGAACACACCTATTAGACTTATTATATGACTAAGCAGCATAAACAAGAAAGCAATACGTTACCATGTGGGGGAACTCAGCTCTCCCCCGCGTCGACTCCGTTGATAATGAGGTCGTCGGGGTTGTGGTAGCAACGGTACACGCGTGCGTTATCCTCGGACAAGGAGTTCCCTTTCACGCAGGGATAAACCAACTTCTCCTGGTACTCGATGCATTCTAACAGGAGACACAAAAAAATATATAAGACCAACGCTGTACCAACGTGTGTTACAACTGTACAACTCGCGGCAGGAAAGTCTAACGGTGACCGTTTTTGCGAATAATTGGCCGTATTGCGTATTATTGCGTATGATTGGCTGTGCATATCGTCTGCACGCGCTGATTGCCTCTCCAGTCGCCTTCCGTCCCCCGTACTGATACGACATTCACAGCTATCCCCTCCAAGTTTCGTTCAGCGCTAGAGTTACGTGCCGCGAGTTATATTTCCAGTTATTGCCTTTTTTTTAGCGATTTCTTCAACATGTCTTCACCCCTTTGATGTCGATTTTCCACGCATTAGAACCAAACCGTTTGCTTCGTGTTTTATAGCAAAAGAGTACAATGATTTTCCGGTCTATCTTTCCGTCCCGATACAATCTGGGCGTCTTCAAGGCAAGAGTGAATAGGCTTTTGTTACACTAAGACAGTGTTATTTATCATCTAGGGCTTCATCACCACTTACCAGTAGTGTTGTGGTGAAGCACTGGCTTGTGATAAGAAAAAAAATGCTTTTACTAGGTTGTAGTAAAAGTTTACTGTAAGACGAACATAAAATGCATTTAGAACCAATATGGTTGGTTGCAAATGATTACAAATGATTTTCAATGCGTATGTGAGTGCGTATTCTTATGGCTCGGGTGTTCTTATGGTTTTTATGCTCCTCGCTCTGCTCATCGCACTGCTCCCTGCCGCCGCGATGTTGTCCTCTCCGTCCACACACTGTTGTACTCGCGCAATTAATCAATACGCTCCGCACAGGTCGCCCGCGTTTGCAACACAATGGATGTTTAAACTGTTGCAGCTTGCGAGCTATGCGTGTTTACTTTTTGTTTACATTTACCCTTTGTCCGCCCAAAGTCAGCCTATCTTCACAGCGCCCTATCAAAGCTGGTGTCCCTCAGGGCTCAGTACTTGCTCCTCTGCTGTATATCCTGTTCCCCAACGACATTCCCATCCCGTCGAAAGGTCAGCTCTCCCTCTTCGCAGACTACAGTGCTATCTACTGCAAAGGTATCTCGCTACCTTTCATACGGAACAAGGTTCAAAAGTCAGTTGACGACCTAGGAGCTTGGTTCAAAAAATGGCGCATCGATGTGAACCCGGAGAAGAGCTCCGCCGTTCACTTCGATTATAAACGACGCCGTCTCAAAAGCACTCCATCAATACGTATGCTAGGGACCCCTGTCCCCTGGCATACGACTGCCAAATATTTAGTGTGTCACTCTAGACACAAGGCTCACTTTCAGGCCCCACGTCGAAAGAGTAACCCGTCACGCACGTTTTTTCCTGAGTAGGCTCAACAGTATGTTGGGCCGACACAGTAAAATGTCCCTCAGAAACAAGCGTACCCTTTATGAGGTCTGTATACGACCAGTCATGTCCTACGCGGGGCCCATTTTTGCCCACGCCGACCCTAAAATTATTAATGAACTCCAAATAGTTCAAAACCTTTTCTGTCGTCGAGCTGCAAACGCACCTTGGTACGTCCGTAATGCCGACCTTCATCGGGACCTAGAGCTCCCTACAATTCAACAATTTCTTAAAAAAAAACTCTCTGAGAACTTCTTCAAAGCCTCAGAGTCGCACTCCAACCATTTTATTCGTGAGGCAGCTACTTATGCAGCCCCACCCCCCTCTAGCTATCGAGTTCGCAGGCCGAGAAACTCTCACTCGGACCCGCCTAATAAACTATCAAACGACCTGAACTGCCTCCTGGCGGCTCAGGCCAACTCTAATTAAATTAAATTATTTATTCATAATTAATTTGCCTTCGTAGGCACTCCCTCAGCGGCTCGTAGCCGCCTGCGCCCTCTTTCCCCAAAAGAGGGTCGCTCCAGATACGGCATAAGAAAGCTTAAACAGCCAGTTGCCAGTCCCCAAAGGCGGTTTTTAGAGGGTAACACTTAAGTTCCCCCGATAGGCAGTGAGTCCCTCATAACCACGATAGACCGGCTATCGCGGTATGCGTAACGCATTATAACCAAACCAAAGTCAGCCCGGATACCTGTTTCTGATACCTATTTCTGTTGCCAAATAGCAGCGTTTACATTGATGTGTGTGAAGGCCATAGAGAGCCGGTATAAATACAGGCTGTGAGCTGTTCCATCATAGTCTTCACAGGTGACAGCACATTTGTATACCTAGCCAACTCGTGACTGCCTCGTCGGTCTAGTGGTTGCAGTTTTGCGACTGCTGATCATAAGGTCCTGGGTTCGAATGCCGGTTCGGGCCAAAAAATTAATTATTGAGTTTTTCCGTCAATAAATTATCGGTAGTTGCCCGGAGTCAGGAAGTTGGCGGTGTCTCACCCCCGTGCCTCGGAAAGCACGTAAAGCCGTTGATCCTGCGCCTGATCTCTCTCCGGTCGTGTCGGTTTACCGTGCCATCGGATTATGAGAGTGAGGGAATAGAGAGTGCACCTGTGCTTGCGCATACACTTGGGCACTATAATCCTGTCCTGCGCCGATGGCTAGTCTCCGTTGAGGCAGGCCGCCGTGGCCGAAATTCGGTCTGGAGGACATTATATTATTATTATTATTATTATACCTAGCCAACCAGCCTTGTTTGTAATTGGCTGCAGATGTCCATGTAATGCAGTAGATACTAATCCTCAGAAAGAATTATAAATTCGTTCGTTACTTCGGTTTTATACAAAAATTTATCGTAATTAGAGTTGCCATCGTTTTTTTTTTTGAACAAATATAGTTTTTTACTTTGCTTTGGCCATCAATGATCTAACCACCTTACCTTCTACCTTACCATTAAAATAATTATACGAGTCTGAACAATTGATTAATAGATGTTATTTTTCTTTCTTCTTTAAATTTAACATTCATGACAGAAAAATTTTTTGCCGTTAACCTCGTTGGTTCCACATTTCCAATCACAGTTAATATAAAAAAGCGCGACAGTTGAATTAGGGATAAAAATATAGTATTTTTCCTAATATATTATTTTTCTATAATATATAGTACAGGGAGTGAATGGGGCACTCTACTCTATTATGAAGAATCAAAATGTGTCAAAAAAGGCGCCTATGGTGATTCATAATGCTGTGCTAGTCCCTACTTTAAAATGTATTGTAGTGAAAGTTGGGTGTGGCAGAAGAAGCACGAAAGTAGAATAAATGCTGTAGAAATGCGGTCTTTAAGGAGTATGCTAGGGTTGAATCTGAATGCAAGATAATGCTGTGACCAGGATTAAGAAAGGAACGCTTCGGTAGTTTGGTCATGTAGAAAGAATGGATGAGGAAAGTGTGACAAAGTAAATTTATGTGGCAGATGTGAACGGCAGAGGCATTTATCGACCAAATTGGCGATATTTTGAAAATGGGCCACATTAGAAGTACCCTTAACCGACGAGCATGTATGCGTAGATATATGGATGTAAAGGAGGCGAAAGAGGTATGTCAGGATCGTGCCAAATGGAAGTCCGTAGTCTCTGCCTTCTCCTCTGGGTGACAGGCGTGATGTTTATATATAGTACAAGTGACTGAAATATAGTACGATATTATATATTATAGTACGGGTGGCAACACTAATCGTGGTCGAGCCACGCTGCTATATTATAGTTGTAGCACAAAATAGGTTGGCTCGACTGGGAAAGTCTACGCTCTCCAACACTGGCCTGAAATAACAGCTTTATGCTGCTGTGTTTCGTATGGTGAGTGTAGAGAATCTGAGACCAATGAATCTTAGTCCTCGAGGGTGACAACGCATCTGCATTTTGATTCTCAGTCGAAGATAGATGTAGTCGGTTATAGGCTACAGCATTCAATCACCATTAGGTGGACTGTGTGATCGCTTGTTAACCTAATTCTATGAAAACAAAGTTAAAAAAATTAAACATACTATCCCACGCCTTCTGTCCAGTTCTGGGAGAAGTTAAATTTGATGCAATAGGTTCACATCCTCCTTGAGATTTCATGTTGGGGTCGCCGAACATGTTGTCATATACCGGTGGCACGTACTCCGTCGTAGTCTTTGGCCTTTAACAAGATATAAAAAAATATTGGAGAGTAATGAAGGCTAATAATTTTACGCTCACTAGATGTCGCTAAGTTGTTGATTTTTTTTGTTACACAATGTCATGGAGAAGATAATATGAGTTGTTATAAATAATCAGTTTCTTAAGCATTATATTAATGCACAAAACTATATTTTGAGTGTCGTACCTATTCCTTAATTTTCTACACATTTAAACCTTTTTTTATTATTCTACCTTTAGGAATATCCGTTGTTAGTTTTATCTATTTCTAGTCTGATTAATTATTACATTAGTCTCAACAGTTTTCTATTAACTTCTCACGCTATGAAATTTGTCAAATATATCACCTCACGCTTAAGTGGCGCCGCCCTGGTGGCCGATAAAGTCGTCGCCCTCATTGACTAGTTGCAATAGGAATACCAGATCTAAAAACAAAAATATCTGGACAAAATTTTAAAATTTCGAGATTTCAGTGCTTTTGGTCACCTTAAGCTTTGCCGCCTTATAAATCCAAAACTAGGAGGAGGACAGAGAAGAAAACACCAATTTGTTTGGTATAACTAATATATTAATAAAAAATAAATAAACAAGCATTGGAAACAATCGGAAATAATTAGGAACACTTCGAAAAATCTACTTAAAAAAATTAATTACTCTATCTCATACTATTCACATAAAATATTCACCTACTATCATAATGTATATATTGAAAACGGGCCAAATTAGGAGTACCCTTAATCGACGAGCATGTACGCGGAGGTGTATGGATGTGAAGGAGGCGAGAGAGGTGTGTCAGGATCGTGCCAAATGGAAGTCTGTAGTCTCTGCCTACCCCTCTGGGTGACAGGCGTGAGTGTTTATGTTATGTTTATCATAATGTCAGCTGTCAAAATGGCGTCAATAAAGCAGCGCCCTTTTGACCCTTTATTACGATGAAGAGTTATCGTATCAAAGCCATCAATGTAAAAAAGGCTGTAGTTTTTGAGTTATAAGAAAGTGATCATATTAACCAGATGACCATATTACCCTCACGTACTGTATTGAAAACAAAAATGTAAAATAAAAGACGTGTGGCACTCGGGGACTGCCGCGGTAAAGCTATTGCATAGCATTTTTTATCAACTTATGCAATTATAATTAATTATTTATTTTATTTATGCAGTTAAGTCTTTGATATTAAATCAAGTTACACTTTTTGAGCGTGGTGACCGATAAGAAAACAAATCTGAACCAGAATCATAAAAACTGTATTATTCGGGCTAAACGAATCTAATAAAGATCTGTTATTTTTGTCTCCTGCGAAAAAACAGACTATAGGAATCTATCGAATACCTACATAAACAAAATATCACCTATAAATAAAATATTACGAAGCGGAATAACTAATAAGAGTGGCAACGTCGCACTATACAAAGGAATTGCGTTAAGACGACACCTCGAAAGGGCTATCGCCGGACTGATCCGAGTGAATGCATAATTTCTATAAAAATTTGAAAAACGCCCTCATAAGGTCTAAAATAGCGTAGCGCCCGCGACGATTAAAAGCGCTTAGAAATTCTCAGAAACTTTAAAATATTTTTGTAAAAATTATTGATTTGAGTAATCAAAATAATGAGCAAGTAAATTATGTATATTAATGTTATGAATATATTTGAGTGATTTCGAAGCATATAGATTAAGTAATTTCGTTGTATTTTCAACTATAGTGGTTTTTTAGAGGTGTTTTCGCAAATAATTATGATCGAGTCAAAATTATACTATCGTGTTTTTGAGCAATCAAATTCAAGATAAAGACATGAATTTACCTATATCAAAATTTCACTTCCCTTAGTGGTGTCATAGTCCTATCAATTATTTTATTATTATAATAGTACATGATATTCCCTTTAAAATGACACCAATATGAATAATATCTTATATCTATATCTACAAATAAATAAAATTGAAGTGTCTGTTTGTAATGTTAAAATAACAGCTTTTTATTAAATGCATATGAAAGTACTAGTAACAAAAACACAATTTTTAAATTTTTTGTCTGTCTGTCGGTCTGTCTGTCTGTTTGTTCCAGCTAATCTCCGAAACAGCTGGATCTATTTTGACGGGACTTTCACTGGCAGATAGCTGATGATATAAGGAATAATGAATCGAACGAATAATGAACCTAAAGAAAATATATCCACAATTAATTTGATGTAAAATAACATTAGAAATAACGTATAAAAACGGAGAAATTATCAAATTTTTGATCGAGTTCCTAACCAGTACACAAACAAAAATGGCGAATAGTCATTTTCACATTTTTTTAGAAATAACGTATAAAAACAGAAAAATGTCAAATTTTTATCGAGTTCCTAACCAGTACACAAACAAAAATGGCGAAATGTCATTTTCACATTTTTTTCTATATAGTTATTTGTTACAGAGTACACAGATAAAATTCACTTTCTTAGATGACAAATTTCAAACACCACAATCTCTAATTTTTTACTCTGCTATTGTTACGGCCTCTAGCTACCCGGGCAAAGGTCGTAGAACCCGGGCCCACCAGGGGTTCAACTCGACGAGTAACAGGAGGTCGGCCTAAATGGCTTGTGGAATATGAGACAATAGCGGTTAAAAAGGAACCAAACAAGACTTACCTATTTCGTCGACGTAGGGTCAAACCTAGGAAGATTCAGGTGTAAGTATATGTGTGTGATAGTGTTATGCTCAGTACGTGTTATATTATGTAACCTGACTTCCCGCTGGTTGCCGAACAGCAGATCCCAAGGCTTCACCTCTATTCCAGTATGGGATCCATCGAAGGGGCAAGCTGTCACAGAAACTTCAGAGTCTAGGAAATTACGCTCGTTTATCACTCATTAATTATAGTTAAGTCAATTGTCATTAGGTTAATCCAATCAAATTCAACCAGATTTAACCGAACCCGCGTTATAACGAACTCACTATTTGTGAAAAATACTGTATCACCGGACCGCGTCGCAAAAAACTCAGGTTCGCGCAGTACATACGTCAGGGCGGTAGGCGTGTTTATTATATACATAAACACCGTGTCGAAGACTGAGGAAAAGAAACGACGTTAGACCATCGTTAGACAATGCACGGCCTTCAAGCCACACCTCCGTGCCCGTCGGAGAGCGTGAGGTTTTTTTCGTTACGAAATTTCTGGATTTTCCCGCACTCAAGGCCCGCGATAGAAGCTATGCAATAGCTTAAAAAGTTTTTTTTTTAATTAAAAGGCTACACAAAGACTTAACATTATTGAAACATAACTAATTTAAGTACACATAATTTTTAGGTTAACACGTGTATTTGGCATTGGACTTTACTAAATCCACAAATTAGGATCCTTTAGATTTCCTTATTCAGAAAATATTTAAATTTCAAATAATTACCTACAAAGTTCAATTTATTTACTAACTCATCTTTTAATAAATCAAAGGCAGCTGTGATGTGAAGAGAAGCTGTTAGTCTGGAGATTTTGAGTTTTATCGGGAGTCTAGAGATCATTTAAAATGTCGAGAGAATCCAGACGAATCTAGACCATCTGGCAACCCTAACTTGCAAGGATCATCTGAAGTCGCTTTTCCACTGAACTGGCATATTGCCAAGAATTGGTATATTGAAATTGGTTTGAGGATGATTATTCGTACATACCGGTTCCATTCAAGTAGGTACCTACATACTTATTTCTGTCGCCCGTGGCCGTGTTCTGGTCTAAATGGTATAGAACAATATAGAGAAGTTTAATTAAAGACTGTGAGGTATTCCATCTCTGTCCACCTGATGGTAAGTGGTTACTGCAGCCCTGGACACCTGCAAGAAAAAAGGATACAGATGCGTCGTCACTTGTCTCCTCTGATGACTAAGGTGAAATGGCTGAACGGAACACATCAGCATTTATGTGCTTGGCAATCGAGTTAAACAAGACCTGAAAAAATTACGTGTGTTACCTTTGCGTAGAAGTGGCGAGCACAGATGGTCTGGAAGTGGTTCCCGGGGGTTTGGGTGGCGCAAAATTAATGCAGCACACGATAGGGTCCATCCCTCGGAAGGTGCATATCTAGAAAATTTGAAGGACTCACTAGAAGATATTCCTGATAACAGCTCATATATAAATTTATAATTCTTCTGTCATTGTGTATGTGACTGAACTCCTGCCAAACGTTTGGACCGATTTTAATGAATGTGATTATGTTGAATCGATAGATGGCGCTGTTGTCTAGATCCAGAAATCACCCGTGCGAAGCCGGGGCGGATCGCTAACTGAGTATTAAATGGTTTCTTCTTACTTCTTTTTTTTATAGAAGAGGGGGCAAACGAGCATACGGTTCACCTGATGCTAAGTGACTACCGCAGCCCATGACCAACCTCAACACCAGGGGAATTGCAGGTGCGTTGCCGGACCTTTAGAAAGGAGTAAGCTCTTTTCTTGAAGGTCCCCAGGTCGTAACGATCCGGAAAAATCGCCGGTGATAGATTATTCTACAGAGAGGTCGCACGCGGAAGAAAACTCCTAGTTAAACGTACAGTGGTGGACCGCTGTTGTATCGGGAAGTTTGCCGCGTAGTGAGTTTATGAAGTTTGGCGGCTGGGATTAATCCGAACAATTCCTCAGAGTACTCCCCGTGATAGATGCGATAAAATACGCAAAGAGATGAAACATCTCTTCGTAGCGCCAGTGAATCGAGCCGATCGGAAAGTACTAGGTCGTCGACGATTCGAACCGCTCTGCGCTGGATGCGGTCAAGTGGAAGGAGCTGGTACTGGGGAGCCCCAGTCCCGAGATGGGAACAACCCACCACCTCCCATGGCCCCACCGACCCTCAGGTCATACGGGCCGAATCTCGGGAGATGCGCGCGGTACTTGCACCTTGCTCTTTCCCGCGCGCACTTTCTTGACTCCCTACAAATATTTGTTCCATTCCTTGTCCCAGTTTAACGTCATTCTCCCCCTTCTGGGGCTGACGGCACAATAACGCCTACGTCGTCGGGCTTTACTACCAGCATTCTATCTTGCCTTATCCTGCGATCGTGCCACCTATGCGCAAACTCGCGCAGCAGTCCGTAGTTCACCCCATCGCTGACGAGATCCAAGTAGTAAATCGGTCCCCGAACCGTACGAACTAGTTCATTCTCTTCATCCATCATTTTCATTCTCAGGTCGTCATGCAGAGGACATTCCCATAGAACATGGTGAACATCCTCTTCTGACACACCACACTCACACATACTCGTATCACACAGTCGCATGTCGCATAATCTCTTCCGAAAACATCCATGCCCGGTGAGAATCTGGGATGTTTGATAGTCCGGTGACACCCAGGTGTACCTGAGCCTCAACGCCACCTCCGGGAAAAATCGATATAGTTCGCGTCCTTTCGTATCATTCATCCATCGTTCCTGCCAGGCACCTATCACCTCAGTCCATATTTCGCGCTTTCGTCTGCTCAACTCCTATTTGGTCGCGGTCAAACGTGCCACACCCATCCTACCAGCACGGATGACCTCCAGGTCAGCTGGGAGGACTCCAGCCAGCACTGGTAAGGCCGCCGTGCTAGTGGATCGGTACGCCTTGGTCAGCAATACAAGGGCGGATCGTTGCGATCTCAGTAGTACGCTACGGACTGTATACATGTTCGCTCGCTCGTACCAGCACTCTGCCGCATACGCAAGCGTGGACAGAAACACTCCCCTGTACACAATTTTTAAGCTCGGGTATCGCACGCCCCATGACGATGTCGATACGCGAGTCATCTTGCCGAATCCCTTGGTCGCTCTTTCAGATATATCAGTCACATGTTGCACAAATGATAGTCCTGAGTCCAAAACCACGCCTAGTACCTTAGCGGTAGTCACAGTCTTGATAGATTCCCCACCAAGTTTAATAACGGGGGGACGCTGAAGTTTTCCTCTAACAGTCATGGTGGTTGACCTTGAGGAGGAAAACTTTAGTCGATTCCTCAGCCCCCACTCCCGTACAAGGTCCAGAGTGACCCTGGCCCTAGATTCGATATCCGCTCTCGTATCCGATTCAATCAAGACTGTGACATCATCAGCATAGGCAGTCATGACGACTCCCTTAGGCAGAGGGAGTCGGAGCAAATCGTCCATCAACAAGTTCCACAGTGTTGGGCCCAGCACAGAGCCTTGAGGACATCCCATGGTCGAGGTCTTCCACTCTACCTGATCCCCGATGTAGAGTCCCCGTAGTATATGCGAAAGAAAATGCAAAGAGATGCAACATCTCTTCGCAACGCCAGTGAATCGAGCCGATCGGAAAGCACTCGGTTGTCGACGATTCGAGCCGCTCCGCGCTGCATGCGGTCAAGTGGAAGGAGCTGGTATTGGGGAGCCCCAGTCCCGAGATGGGAACAATATTCCATGTGCGACCGAATCTGCGCCTTGTAAAGTAGCAGGCGGTGTGCCGGCATGAAATACTGTCCCGCTCTGCTGAGCACGCCAAGCTTTTTGGAGGCTAATTTGGCCTTCTCTTCCAAGTGACCACGAAACTGTACATCACTCGATATGTTGACTCCGATACTGACTGAGTCAATAAGGGGAGTGCCTTGAAACTGAGGAGATACGACAAAGGGTTTCTTTTTAGCGGTTAACGTGCAAACTTGCGCTTCTGAGGGTTAAACTGGATTAGATTTAGTCGCCCCCAATCTGAGACTTTGTTCAGCAAAGACTCGACTTCAGACACAAGTTTGTGACGAGACGTTGGACGTTGTGTTTGAGACGTTTTCCCGAGAAATATTGACACGGCCGGTGTACAGAGCATCACCAGTGCTGTTATCTGCATAGCAATAAATGTTAGAAATGAATGCATAGGTAAATAAAAATTTACCTGCGGCGGTTGTTTATTCTTGATATCATTAATAGCTGACTGGCAGTTTTTTAGAAGCGCGCAGGTGCCACTTACACCATTTTTTCGGCAACCATCACCTGAAATAAATTATTGCTATTATATATTTACAGGCGCTTAATTTTATTGTAATAATATTTTTTAAATGACTAATTTTTCAATATTACAAATATGTTTATGTAGATGGCAGCTTAAAAGAATTAATCACTCCATTTCAAAGGCTAGAAAAACCTTGAGGTTTTAAACCTCGCCATGCGTAAAATATTATACTGTCGACGCGCAGAAGCGTCAAAGGTGTCGTCACGTACTACAATCGTCAGTGTGCTTGCCAAGAGTGACTATTAAGTCAAATCCTTCCTGCAACAGGAGATGGTTATGTCCAGCAGGACTGAGGTCTTATTCTTGGTGACAAAAGAGATTATTATAGTTATAGTATTATATTTTCCTATAGTTACCATTTTTTATAGTTTTATCAGTTTTTTATAGGTTTATATAGTATAATTATTGTTACAGTTTGTTATTGGTATCATCATCATCACAGTCCATTGAAGGTCAACAGCTGAACACAGGCCTTCCCAATAGATTTCCTCACAGGATAGTTGTAATAATTGCCAGGCTTGGCAGGCAGCTTGGCTCGAGTCCCTCTGTCGCCTCTTACGACGCCCACCGGACGTATTGAGGTAGAGGCAGTTCCGTCTTTACCATAAAGGCACGCGGGGCCAAAAGCATCGGTCTTATTCAGTTACGCTATAGTATAGCGTCTATAATATAGAATATGTTCTTTTTTTGAAAGAAAGTTCAGGAAAGAAACATTATAGTTTACATTTTCCTTGGAAATTATCGTCCCCGCCATGAAACCGGTCAAATATTTTACCTTATTGTAAAGTGGCGCCGCCCTGGTGGCAGAAAAGTAATAATAAATATAAGATCATAAAAATGTTTTTATCATTCACTTTTTTTACTTTCCAACGGGGCTCCAAATTCGTGTGTGCCCAAGGGCCCCGGTATGGCCTAAGACGGCGTTGGGTAGAGGTTGTTCTTAAACCGCCACTACATGTTATTTATTAAGCTATTGCATAGCTTCTATCGCGGGCCTTGAGCGCGGGGACCGAATCCAGAAATTCCGTAACGAAAAAAACCTCACGCTCCCCACTCCGACGGGCACGGAGGTGTGGCATTGAAAGCCGTGCATCGTCTAACGTCGTTTTAGTTCGGCAGACTTCGGCACGGTATTTGTGTGCGTGTACACTGGCTGCTAACTCAATGATAAAAATTCCTGAATAACCTACATGTATTGTAAGATATTAAAAATATTTTAAACAATATTAACTTCTCATTTATTCAATAAGAGAAAAAAAAGTTGTTTTCTTATCGGTCACCACGCTCAAAAAGTGTAACTTGATTTAATATCAAAGACTTAACTGCGTAAATAAAATAAATAAATAATTATAATTGCATAAGTTGATAAAAAATGCTATGCAATAGCTTTACCGCGGCAGTCACCGAGTGCCACACGTATTTTTTCTATTTTATTTTTTTATTTACACTTTCATGCGCAAAGTAGTACAAATGGCGTACTTAATACCACAGGGCATTTTTCCCAGTCAACCATTAGGCCAAACAGAGATAGACATGTAGGAGGCGGTACAGCAATAATCAAGATAGAAAGGGTAACAATATATATATATATATATATATATATATATATATATATATATATATAGTACCCGGTTGACCGAGCTTTGCTCGGTATTTTTCGCTCGGTTTTTTTTTAATTCGTGTGTTTTGGAAATTATATTTAGATACAAATTACATACTGATGAAATACGAATAATATTTTGTGATCTTAGCGACATAATAGAAAAAAACTGAACTGGTTATTTGAATAAAAAATCATGAGTGTAATTAGTTTAATTTAAATTTTCGTGTTTTTAAAAAATACTAAAAAAAGGGCTCGAAAAAATAGATTTTCTCAAAAAAGAAAGGAACTTCAAAAAAAATTAAAAAAAAAGTCGGTCAGTCGGTACGGGCTCGAACCATGGTATTACGATTTTGTAACCGCCCAATATACCAATTAAGCTATTTGTAATCGTTAATAAACTGTCAAAATTTACCTTCATATTCTAACGATATTGTAGCAGTTTTTCATTGCCTAAAAACATGGACAAAAAGACATTTTCTAAAAAATAAATCCCAGCTAGATCAATTTATTGCCCCCCGAAATTCCCTGCACACAAAATTTTATGGAAATCGTTGGAGCCGTTTCCGAGATTCCGATTATATATACATATATATATATATACAAGAATTGCTCGTTTAAAGGTATAGGATATATATATATATATATATATATATATATATATATATATATATATATATATATTAATGGTCAAGTTACGCCGCATTAATATACAACTTATCACGCCAGCGGAACATAAAAAGAGAGTAGAATAAAAACGGTGGGAACAACATAAAAAAAAAACAGACGTACTCCTAAGAATATTAGTAACGCTATTTAAATTACCCACATTCAAGTTAACCTTTACAAGTAACAATAAAATGCTTGTTTTAAATTGCTATACGAAAGCAGCGGATTGGCGGATTCAAACCCATGACTTTCTATGTTTGCAGTACGAACTCTGAAGTACTTACTACTACTGATTGAAACAAGCGATGACGCTCAAAACATTAAGCGTCATCGCTCGTTTGGTAATTATTTTTTAAACACTTTAGAAGTTAACTTCGCTATTTAACGATATAATGATGGTAACTTAGGTTTTTTTTAATAGAAGAAGTGAATGCTGTGGCTGATGGTAAGTGGATCTCTACACTTACCATACGAAGCACAACAGAATTAATAAGCTGTTATTTGACGCTGGTGTTCTGTGAGAGCGTGGTCCTTCCCCGGTCGAGCCGACCCATTCGTGCTATCGTGCAACCATAATATAGCTGAAGCGCGGCTTCTACCACGTATGCAAACATAACAGGGCTTCGTTTTTAAACTGAGCAAAGTCTGGTTTGGTCTCTATAAATTATAAAATAGTGGCTCAGTCCTCACCCATAAAATTGAATAAAAAAGTTAAACTTTTACATTAGTAAATTTTTTTTTCGTGGCCCTCTTTTAGCCCATCTTCGATAAGAAATAAATAAGCAAGCGGCCCGGGTTCGATCAATGACGGCACCAATAAAAAAATATTGCTGATTTAAGTGCTGATTTACTACGTTCTCTGTGATGAAGGAAAACATCGTGAGGAAACCTGTGTGTTCGAAATTTAAAAAAAAATCTGAGATATATGAGGTCCGCAAACTCGCATTGGGGCAGCGTGGTGGACACTTTCGTGAAAACTCTCTCAGAAATGAGGTAATATGTACCTGTGCCCAATAGTAGGACGTATATAGGCTGTATCGTTACTTTGCTTTTTAGTTATTTATCAAAGCTGTATTTTAAATTAATCTTCTTTTTTATAAGACCGTCAATGACTTTTCTGGCAATACCCATAGTAGCTTCTTACGAGAAGAATTGTGGAAAAACTACATACTTGTTTGCGTAGACGCCTCTATGACACGATAGCTCTTCATCAGTAAATCAAATAATAAAGGGTCAAAATGCGCTGCTTTATCAACGCCATTTTGACAGCTCACATTATAGTAAATATTTTAATCGATTTTATTATTGTGTAATGTGGTAAATTTTGTTTAAGTTCATTTTTCGAAGTGTTTCTAATTACTGTTGTTTTAATTATTGCTCCTAATATATTAATTACAGTATAGGACTTTGAACTTTTGTTACTGTCTTTCTCCTAGTTTTGGTTTTATAGGGCGGCAAAGCTTAAGATGACCATATTACCCTCACGTACCAAATGTGTCGTTATTTGGATTTGAAAACTATCGCATAAAAATGGCGCTGGATGGTTAATCAATGAGTTTTTTATTGAAATCCTAGTTAAAGGTATAGATAAATTCTTTATTGTTATTGGCTTTTTTGCGCCTAATATCGTGCTTTTTTCTTTCCTTGGTAAGGAACTCGTAAGGTTGTACTTTTGCCAGTGTCAAATATTATGAAGTTAACCTTAACATTTTTTTTAAAACTTCTTCACATTATGCGTTATATTGTGAAATTAAGGAGAGGTTTTTACGGCAGCTTGAGCCAGTAGACAGTTAATAAGGATGTTAAGCAGACACGATAATTTTAGGTTGACATCACGATTGGATAACTTTTATCAGCATTTCTAATTTCACATGCGAAGACATTTGATACACAAAATCAACCTCACACCATTACTTAGGTAAACAAAAATACAGGAACAGCGTTTCGCCGCCGGTCAACTTCCTGTTATTTTAAAATAATAATATTATTAATTTAAATTTGGAATTCCAACTCAAGTGCACGGTCTTAACTTCAAAGCCAACCACTATGTGAAAAAATGACATCATAGTTATACGACTCTAATATTATGTTTTTGCAATAATTTTCCTCAATTATATACCTATGAAGACATACAAAAGCTCATAAATAAAAACTATTTTACCTTGTGGCAAGAGCTATTAATTGTATACAAAAAAAAAAACAATTCGATTTTTGAAAAACTTGTTTAAAAACTTGAATATCCAGAATACGTGAAGGCGTCATTCTGCAACTTAAAAAAACTGGTCGTGAACACTCCTTAGGAAAATAACTCATTCAATGAACAAAAACAAAAAGAGATAATGTCCTTCAGACCGAATTTCGGTCATAGCGGTTTGTCTAAAATGAGATCTGTGCGCAAGCACAGGTGCACTCTCTGTTCCCTAGCTCTCACACCTAGGATTTATGTGCTTTTCAAGTCACGGGGTGATACACCATTAATTTCTTGATTTTCAGACTGTTACTGAGAATTTCTTGACAGAATAACCTTATTGAAAGCAATAAAAAAATTTGGCCTGACTCGGGATTCGAAGCTCGACCACATAAACAACAGCCGCTTACGACTATTAGACCAATGAGGTAGTATCCTTATATATTAGTGGTCCAAATAGTATGTTTCTACAAAAAATATAGTTGGAGCAAATACTATATTTTAATAAATATTGCGTATACATTATAATAAAGGCTCAAAGTAGCAAAATGTTATTTAAAAATAAAAATTCCGTTTGAAACGAACTTATATTAATATAATTTATTAAAATACTGTGTTTTTACTGTATACCTTAAGAGCAAAGTGCGTAAGTATATTCTACTAGCGCCTAAAAATCAAGAATTCAACATTTTGTCGCATGAAATCGTATCTAACAATCATATTGAACATACAAATGATTTAAAAAACACATTGTCAGAAATATAAATGATTGTTGAACTTATTATTTTTTTTAAATCGATTAATTGCTATTTTTACATTGAAAAAGTGGTTTTATTGGCTTATGGTGCAGATTTATCGAGTCCGCATGGAGGGGTAAACACGATAACTTTTGAAAATATCAATTGTTTAACTAAATCTATTTTTTAATCTCTACATCTATCATGTGAGAAGCCAGGGATGTACAAGTAAATGGCTGTTTAATTTTGTTTTATCTAGTTATATATGATTTTTTCGCTGATAACATAGATAATAATATAGACATCTAGGTATATCTATCCCCAAATAAGTATCAAAATGCAGATGCGTTGCCACCCCTAATGACTAAGATGAAATACCTCGTTTCCAGTAAAAAGGGTCTTCGGTTCTCTACATTCACCATTACGAAATATCAGCATTAAGCTGCTATTTTACGTTGTTATTCTGTGCACTATATCGCCTCGTAAATACAAGGTTTAATGTTTGATATAAATGCGTTGGCAGCTCTAATAACAGGAGCTAGAAATACAATTACTGCTAACGAGTTAGACGTGAGAAGGTCTTTATAGTGATGTTGCCCGTGACGTAAGTATTTTACGTCTACGCCGGAACGAATATTAAAAAAAAATTTAGAGAAACGGAGCCCCTTTTTTACTTTCATCTAAGACCTCGAGCTGACAACATATCTGCATTTTATTTTTTTGTCGAAGATAAATGTAGATGTCTATGGGCGAAAGCATTCACTTACCATCAAGTGGACTATGTGCTCGCTTGTCACCGTTATACTATAAAAATTGACACACAGATCGATGTCCAGCAGTAGACTTCTGCAGGTCAGTAAAGAATAAGCCTTATTAAAAATATAAAAATGAAAGTTCTAGAAAATCTCAAACGGCTGAAGAGATTTGAATGTTTGATATAGTTTATTTTTGGTGGCATAGCACAAAGAATAGTTATGACGTAGCTATTGACTTTAAAAAGTACTTTGTAAAAGCCAATTTTGAATAAAAATTAATTGACTTTGACTTTATTACCCTCTGAAGTCGGATATATCGTATCAATTTAACCCTGATAAATTGTATAGTGTATGTAACCCTATTCTATACGTACACTATAGTGTACATAAAGGCCTATTACGGTTGATGCGCTGAAAGAATTTTCTTATTACTTTTATCTGAATACTTACCCGTATAAATTATATATAAAATTTTACCCTATATCGCGGTGGCAACTAACACCATAACTGTAAATTTTTATTTATTTCACTTTAAAAAACTTTACCCTTACAGTAGGATTTTCTCTAGTATCGACGAGGCGGATACATAAATTGCACAAGAACAAACTTTCACACATGGAACAATTATTGTGTATCTACTATATACATGCCATCAAAACTTTTATTCCATGTCGGATTCAAAACGGCGACCCCGGGTTACGTTATATTCTAATAAAATTTGAACAGGGAGTCGACTATGTCTTAGGACAGGAGATATGTTCTTTTCATTTACATTCATATATTTACATATACGTGCTCATCGGTTAAGAGTACTCTTCATTTTGCCAGTCTTTACAATATCGTATTTAATTTGATCGATAAACTTCTATCTATGGCACTTCTGCAGCATACATTTTGCTTCGTCTCTTTTTACAGGCTGTGAGGAATTCCATTTTAGTCATCGGAGATGACTACGAATATGTAGCTTTTCATGTTTGAAGTTGGTCACAATTCTCCATGCGTCACAATAGTCCCTTAATGTGGCTCTAAGTTTGTTTGCCACTTCAGTTTTATGTCTTAAAAAAACTAAATATTTTAAAAGTGTAAACTATAGAGTGTAGAAGTAAGGAGTACAGACTGACAGACTGTGTATTAAAAAGTGTCCATAGAAAACAGTTAAATAAAGGTAGCACCACTATAGCTACGGGCTAAATTTTAAAGTACGTGCCGAAAAATATTAGTAGGATAGACAAGTTTTTCGAGGTTATATTTACTAAATAAAATTATTTTAGATTTTAGAGCTACTGAGCAGTTTAGCAGCACACTTGAAACCGTCGACAACTGCTAAGTTCATTTCATCCCAGTAGCTACTCCAGCGCTGTTGTGGAGAGTTTTTGAACTGTTATTTACTGCTTGCAGATGGCCACTTTTTCAACTCTACTCTACTCTACTATGGGAGTTGGTACTCCTTACTTCTACACTCCATAGTATAAACATTTTTGACTTACCTTCGTACTGAGTCTTGGCAAGCACGACATAACACATTAAAAGAACAACCGTATTTCCTCTGAACATCGTTCAAAAACACGGGTTATCGGTATTAAAATATTAAACGTAAATATACCTAATTTGTTCATAAAATCTTAGGTACCAACACTTATGTCATTATGATAGGACGTATGAGTAAGAAGTTAATAATAAGATCAATACGTCTTACCGCGTCCGTATACGCGGTCTCACTATCAAAGTACCAAAGACTAAATCACTATCTAACCACACTACAAGGTCATCATTTTATTATTTAATCTGTACCCTACACTGGTGTCAATATATGAATGGGTACTATGGCCCATAGACTTCTACATCCTTCCTCGGTTAAGAATCAAAACGCAGTTACGTTGTCACCCCTGAGGACTAAGATGGAATGCATCCTATCCAGTAAAAATGTGTTTATAGGCTAGTATCCACTTACCATCAGTTTTCTTCCGCGTACGATCTCTCTGTGTAATAGTTTACCACCGGCCATTTACCCGGACCGATACGACCTGGGGACCTTCAAGAAAAGAGCTTACTCCTTTCTAAAAGGCCAGCAACGCACCTGCAATTTTTCTGGTGAACCGTATGCTCATTTGCCCCCTCTTCCATAAAAAAAAATCTTGTCCTCTCCTCTCGAGAGCTGAATCCTATAGATGTATACGTGTCTCTTCTTAGTGTCGCTTTTTCGTTACGTCCAGCGTTTGAGATAATTAAAAAAAACAAATATAATAATTGTTGAGATTTTTTGTGATCGGGATAAAAAGAAACTTAGTGAAGGTTTCACTAAGTTTGCACCGTTTATTACCCATTAGCCAATAACTTTTTCGTTTGTGACAATAAATTAAATATAAGAAACACAAACTAGACTTGCAACGAACGAAAAGTATATTTGGCCCACGGCGGCTGCCGAATATTTATGTAATATCTTAATCAACCCAAAACAACATATGTTAGAAATAGCTTGGTAGCTGTCAACTCAGTCCCAGAGGTTATAATCATCCATACATTCTCTAATATTATAGAAACCCTTTTTAAACATACTTAAATAAAGTTTTCAAAAAGCAGGTCATATTTTGTATATTTTCTGGAATTTTGTTGTAAAAGCGTATATACATCGCCCCCAATAATTAATTACTGAATAAAACAACATACAGATAGCACAATTCATTTTATTTTATCCTTAATAACGACATGAACAAATAAATAAATTGGCACGCAACATGAAATGCAGATTAAAAACATTGCATATTAAAAATAAATATAACCAACATTAGAAAATTTCGTTGATTCTCAACTTTTTCTTCTTAAAGCTGTGTTTCTTATGGTAAGTGAAAGGACCTGGAGACCCTTTTTACTAAAAATGGGACATTCCATTTTAGTCCTCAGTGGTGACCACGCATTTGCATTTTTATTGGTAATCACAGCATCCACTTACTATCAGGTGGACTGTGTGCTCGTTTGTCACCCTTATTTTATAAAAAAGAATACTAAAGGAAAAATACTATAATTGTAACAGAAACGAAATGAGAACCGTTAGGACTGAGGACTAAGATGGAACCTTCGTATCTAGGTAAAGGTCAGTTAGTATAAGTAACTTATGGAAAGTCATCAGTTTACAATTTCTATTAGCCGATTTACACTTCGACAAGTACTGTAGCGAGTTTAATTACAGGTCAGTTGACAGTAAACAATTAAGCGGACAGTAGCGTTTAAATGTCTTCGTAGCGAGTTTAGTTAAAAAAGGACAATTTTGGATTTTATGGGCCGAATGGTTGCGTCCTGTTTGTGGGCCGAACGCGAATACGTTGCGTCCTGTCAACTTATGCACTGAACTATACTCGCTCGTGCACAAGAGCGGCGAGTTTAGCTATGAGTGCCGAGAGACACGCGGGAGGGCACTTCGCACTTGACTCGCCGAACAATACACCGGCCGGCTATCCCGTTCAACTTAATTGTCGACTTACTACTTAACTCGCTACTGTACTTGTTGAAGTGTAAATCGGACTTATGAAAAAGGGAGCAAGTCCAATACAGCTAAAAGCTACAAGTTATAGTATCTATTACACATAAGTTATAGTTTGTGCAATTTCATTGCAAAATATCTCTATATTGTCTCTAAGGGTTAACATTTATTAACACATTCACGGACAGTACGCCCATTTTCTTGACATTCTGAATTTATATTACGACACAACGCCTGTTTACGATAAAATATTTTTTTCCTTATTTGCCACTACGTAAATAAGTGCGGTATTCGTTTACGGTTAATATGAAGATCTACTTTTACTGTCACAGTATCAAGATTGTACTGTCACAACATAAAATTTTATGATAGTAAATGAGTGCTATCTAAACATACATGCAAATTTTGCTATAGTACACATGTTGTGGCACCACGAATGTAGCCGCGCGCGTGTGTTCGCGTCGTGAGTCAAACGAACCAGTCGCGTAGTGTCACCGGGAGGTGAGGACACGCTCGCTTGCGTCAAATCGTTCGTCGTCGTTCGTTGAATACTTACGTGTTTTTCCTGGTAAGCAATTTAGTGTTATAATATGTTATTGTCTGTATAAAGATAACCGAATAGTAACCAGTCTTTCAAAAATGGTTAATACTTATTGTATCAAAAGACCGTTAACATAAAAAACACGATAAATTTAAAAATATAATGGAATAAACTTCATATTATTTTGTAGGTAAGTATCGATTCTTTCTTTTGTTGTGCGTCTAATTCTCTTTCAATTGTCTTCAGATGGCCTCAAAAAGAAACAAATTGAGCATAGGTAATCCAAAATCTTTGTTTCGAGATGATGAATCTAACCACGATCCATATTCTGACGATGATGGTGAATATGGTTCAGACCACAATTACGAGCCCGCTGATGAAGATGAAGATAGCAGCAGTGACTACAGTGAAATTTTCGATGTTCATAGAAGTCGCTTTGAACGGAATAGACAAAGAATTGGGTCTGAAAGCCAGAAGTCGTATCATGGTTCTGCTGGCGATCAAAGCGATGATGGCGAGCAGATAGACCAGAATTCTGTTAATGAAGGAAACTTTGGTGAAACCGAACGTGATTCCGACATAAGCCATTGTAGTATTTTCGATCACCATCAAATTCAAGTAGCAGGGAATGAGAAATAAAGCAGCGTTCAAAGGTATGAAAGTCAAGAGAACAATGCTGTTGGAAATCATAAAGATAACAATGATATTCACTTACAACAAAATTATGAGCTACCGGAATATAGAAATCAACAAGACGAAGAAGAAATAAGAATGAGTCTGGAGATTAATGAGGTGATTGGTGTTCAATTTCCAAAAATTCAGGTGCCTTCCCAGGATAGAAGAGGAGAAGAAAAACTTACAGCTAGAATGAGAGAGGAGCTGAATGAGGTAGTTCAAGATCAATCTCCACAAAATCAAGCACAATCTCAGGCAAATTTAAATGAGGCTGGACCGAGCAGAAGAAGAAGTTCAGTAAATACAGTACGTCGAGGGACTCCTCCACCAAATGACACAATTTGGGAAGATACTGTCTCAAATATTGCTTCTATTGACTTTAGATCTCCAGCGAAAGGCCCGACATTTGAAGTTCATGAAAATACCACATGCGAGGAAGTATTTGACCATTTATTTACCACAGAGATCATAGAGTATTTGGTTGAACGAACAAATTCCTATGGAGCTGCTCTTACCAAAATAAATAGCCACATACACGTCATGCACGCAATGCTGCCTTTCGAGCAACAAATCCTGAAGAGATGAAAAATTTTTTTAGGTCTTACTTTATTAAATGGTCACATTCGTGTTCCACAACAAAGGAAACTTTTTACATATGACGACCCCTTGTATTTTTACCCTGTCTTTAACTATACAATGTTTTGCAGAAGGTATGAGCAAATTTTAAGATGTCTGTATGTAGCTGATTTGGGTGAGAGAGGGTCTGGAAAAATTGAAGGTTTTATAAACACAGTGACTCAAAATTTTCGTAATGTATTCAATCCAGGTCAAGACTTGTCTCTTGACGAGTGTTTGCCACTTTATAGAGGACGATTAATATTTCGTCAGTACATAAAATCAAAAAAAGCTAGATATGGCCTAAAGTTTTACGTTTTAACTACAGCGGATGGATACGTTTTAAATATTATAATGTACAGCGGAGCAGAAGATATTGAAGCCGATGAAAGGAGGACTGACAAACTGGTACTGCGTTTAATGCGCCCATATCTTTTAAAAGGGCATAACTTATTTATGGACAATTACTACAATTCAGTGACCCTTTCTGAAAAATTACTTGATTTGAAAACACACACCAACGGCACGCTGCGTAAGACAAGAAAAGACAATCCTAAAGAAATTGTACAAAAGACACTCCAAAAAGGCCAGCATGTGTGGGCTAGGAAAGGAAAAGTCTATGTAAGTGCCTGTAAAAATAAAAGAGACGTCTATATGGTTACCACCATGGATCATCCAGCGCTCATTGAAGTCACAAACCGATTTGGAAAAAAGAAAACTAAACCCATAGAAGTGAACAGATATAACAAATCCATGTCCGGTGTTGATCGCTTGGATCAGATGATAAGTTATTATTCATCACCAAGAAAAACTATAAGGTGGTATAAAAAAGGTCCTATTTCATATTATGGACACCACAGTTTGGAATTCCTTTCACATTTATAAAAATTTTGTGAAAAAAGATAAGAAGTATGAATATGTGACATACAGAGAAGAGTTAATCAGGAAATTGATCGGCCTGAAAGAAGAAAAAGGAAAAGATTTAATTCGAAATTCCAACAAGAATGACAGCAGGCGGTATGTGCTTCAAACTGAATCACAGCTTCATGAAAATATTGAACGCAGTAAGGTAGAAACGCAGGACAACTTTTCTCAGCCAAATTCAGGAAACCACGGACATTGGCCGACTCGCATGATGCCATCTGCAAATTCTAAGAAGAAGTACGCATTTTTGACATGTAAGCAATGTTCGAAACAAAAGGTACGACGTAACACGAGTTACTTCTGTAAAGGTTGCAATAATTCTCCAGCACTTTGTCCTTCACGTTTCGAAGATTGGCATAAAGATTTGTAAACTGTCAAGTGTAATTTTATAAATACATAGATTATCATAATATCAAGGATGACATTTTAAATATTCCTTATTTAAAATGTCATCCTTGATATTATGATAATCTAGATTTTATAAAATATTGTGATACTACATTTTTAAAAAACAAAAGACTGTTTGTTATGCTTAAGTTAGTTAGCTTTTTAGCTTATTAAAAAAAGGAGACCTAGAAAAATAATAACTATATGTTAATCGAGAGAAAAGACGTATCTGATAATTATTTTGTTTTGTTAATTATTAACCAAGTTTAAGTTAAGAAAATATTTTTGTTTAAATATAAGACTGTTATTTTGTTTTTTTTTAAGTTTGGTATAAAAATATGATTTTCCATAGTTTTGATTTATTCAATAAAAAATTTTTTTTTGGTTCACAAAGTTTTGATTATTATCATCATGATTCCTATGGTAGGGACTAAAGTGTCATACTACACTTATTTATACACATAATCTTGATAGCAACATGGCAGTACGCCTATTCGCGATGCGTACAGAGACTTACTGTCATATGCACACGATGATATCAATCACGATGCGACAACACGACTATTTCGTGGCACGTACCGAAGCGTACTGTCATATGAACGCCATAATTTTAATTACGATGTGACAGCACGACTATTTCGTGCCACGTAAATAAGCGTACTGTCATTAGAAGACGATAATTTAAATTACGACGTGGCAGCACGACTATTTCGTGCCACGTAAATAAGCTACTGTATTAGAAGACATAATTTAATGAGTGCGACTTTCGTGCCACGTACATAAGCGTACTGTCATTAGAAGACTATAACTTTGACTACGATATGACAGCACGATTATTTCGGGCCACGTACAGAAGCGTACTGTCTCACCACAATTGTACAAATATATTGCTATGTGTCAGGAAGTATATAGGCGTGATAGTAATTTGTATGGAATTTTTTAGTGTCATATTTCAAACTTGATGCAGTGTCCAGTGTCCGTGAAAGTGTTAAGCCTAAACAAAGACTTCTATGGATACTAATAGACTGTCTCTGATGCCTTAATTACATTGCGCACTAAAGTTACAGTTAATTCTCCACAACTCCTTTAGTCGACTGCGAGCGGGCGTGCAGATTAGTTCTTTGTTTTGTAAACAGCGAACGTTGTTTTCGACAATCAAACTCTGATTTTGTTCAATGTGACTAAGAAAATGCATGTAAACATTAATGTGCGCACTTTGTTAACGTGATTTAAAGTTCATTTCAGATAAGTGTGTAACTTTATTTCGTGTTTGCTTAACACGTGGTTCAATTAAAAATCTTGTACAACCGACTACAATATAAATAAAATGAGAACATCATCATTGTAGTAGAAGTCAATTAAAAACGCATTGTTAAGAATAACTCAAAAACCACAAGTCAGATCTAGATCAAACTTATATGGGTCCACGTGAGAAGATGCTTCAGCTTTAAGATAAAAAAGAATCATCAAAATCGGTTCACTGAGAAATAGGTTTTGAGGTAACACACAAAAAAACATGCACTCGAATTTAGTACCTACTCATTTTTTGAAGTCGGTTAAAACCAGTAACCGTCGTAAATGAAAGTACAATTGCGTGGCGTGCTAGCTGCCCGTCCGTTACCGACCCGCAGTTGTGACAGAGTTTATGTTCTGAACTGCCAGTTTAGTAGTATTCATAGAAGTCTTTGAGCCAATATACAGTTAAATGTTCAATAAGAACAGTTAAATTTTATTTTCAACATTTAAGTCAGAGTTAAGCCACGCAAATAAAACATGAAAGCATTCGTAACAACAAAAATTAACAGCCTCATTTAAATTGAGTAATAATTATCTATATATCTGTCTCATTCTGTTGTCATATATTAAAAAGAGAAGGAAAGCAAATTTAAATATTTCTTGTATTGACATTGATTCTATAAGGCCGTAAAAGCGTAAGTCAACTTAAAATAATAAAAATTAAAAAAAAAAATACACGTGTACAGTTTACACGAGGTAGAAGTGAAACCTTCATAAAAGGATACCAAGGTAATAGGAGGTACTGTATACAGTATTCTATCTCATTCCCTCGCAGGCTAAATCCTATAGATGTATATGTTTGTCTCTTTTTGGTGTCGCTTTTACGTTTCATCGAAATACAAATCACAAGATTCTAGAGAAGTTTTTACTTCAATAAAATAATTTCCACATAGCTTCTGAAGTCGAAGCAAAGACATAGCATATAGGAAAATTAAATCCCCGATCTCGAACGACAAAATAATTACTAATACAGTACTTCTGATGGTAAGTGTAAGAATATCCACTACCCCATATCATCCTAAGGGCGTTAAAGAGAAGAAAGAGGAAAACAAACCAGGAGATGGTAGCATGACTAAAAATGATTTTTTTTGTCAGTCAACAAAATCCAACTATATATATACAGGCTGTTAGTGTAAACACCGTTATCCTTAAAACCAGTGGTTTGGTTTCACTTATAGAACGTTATTCAATGAAAAATAACAACATTTTTTAGTAAAATCTCAATTTTTCCTTAATTCCTCAATTAGCCTAGATGAAAGTATGAAGGAAAAGTTACATCACAGGTTATGTGTATCTACTACCTATTGTGTTTTATTCGAAGCTAACGCGGGCGGTGATCTTTATAGTCATTACGTCACTTGGGCGCATAGGGTATCCATGATTCGAGTGTTCCAGTATTTTTAAATTTTATGAAAGAAAATAGCGTTTTTTTTTAAAAAAAATCATTGAATTTACGTTCTATAAGTGAAACCACTGGTTTCAAGGATAACGGTGTTTACACTAACACTCTGTATGTATATATATATATATATATATATATATATATATATATATATATATATTTTTTATATATATATATATATGTCAACCAGATTGCCAATTATGGCTACTATGGCAAATATCTCTAATATGCGACAATCTATTGGAAAATCTATGTTCAGCAGTGGAATGAATAGAGTGTAACGGGATAGTAAGTGGGTATTGTAGCTAACTTCAAACAAAGAAGTCTACAGATGCGTCGTTGCCTCTGAGGACTAAGATGTGGTTTTTGAGTGGCACACGTTGAAGTTATAATATTATGGTTGTAGCACGAATGGGCCGGCTCGATGGACCACATAGAATACCATCGTGAAATAGCAGCTTAAAGCTGCTGTGTTTTACATGGTGAGTATAGAGAACCGGATACACTTTTCACTGGAAACGAGACATTCCATCTTAGTCCTCACGGGTGACAACACATCTGAATATTGATTCGTAATCGAGGATAAATGTAGATGTCTATGGACTACAGCACCATCAAGTGGACTGTGTGCTTGTTTGTTACCAATATATAGTATAAAAAATGCCTCAGCCTGTAATTACCGCCTCTCTATACCCTTCCTACCGGAGCACTGCTATAAGCGGCAGAAATAAGAAGACACCTACACGGACAGACTTCCACGCGGAAAGGAATTTAATGTGTAATACTTCCATATCTTGTACACGTTGACTGACAAAAGGCAAGACTGACAAGCCTGTATAAAAGGATTTCTTTTAGCAGCGACTTTTTTATAACTTCTTTTAATAGAATAAGGGAGACAAACGAGTATACAGTCCACCAGATGGTAAGTGGATGCTGTGGCCCATAGACACCTTAATCTACATTCGATGAATCGAAACGCAGATGCGTAGTCACCTCTGAGGACTAAGATGGAATGCCTCGTTTCCAGTAAAAAAGGGTCTCCGGATCTCTACACTTACCATACGAAACACAGCAGTACTAAGCTGCTATTTCACGCTGGTATTCTGAGAGTGCGTGGTCCTTCCCAGGTCGAGCCGACCCATTCGTGCTACAACTATAATATAGGTGCAGCGTGGCTCTACCACGTATAACTCAAATAAAAAAATTTGAACCCCCGAAACAACAACAAGAATATCTTCAAATGGCTGAACAGATTTTCTTGCAGCATAGCTAAGGGCACTCTCGACTAAGACACCTTTCAAACGAAAAATACTTAATGAAAATCGGTTCATACGTTCAGGAGCTATGATGCCACAGACACACGCAGAGACACACAGATATAACTCGCGGCACGAAAGTCTAGCTCTGACCGTTACTGCGCATATTTGGCCTTATTGCGCATCATGCGTATGATTGGCTGTGCGTATCGTTCGCACGCGCTGATTGGCTCTACAGTCGCATTCCGTCCCCCGTACTGATACGACACGTTTCGTTTAGAGCTAGAGTTACGTGCCGCGAGTTGTACACACTACAAACTTATAAGCATATAACACTCCTCTGTTTTCGTCGAGGGTTAAAAAGAAGTCCTACCAACTTGCAAAACTTAGTTCCCAAGTAAAACTTTCATGTTTTATATGCGTTGACTGACAAAAGCCCGTATTAAAAAGATTGCTTTGAGCAACTTATTTTCCTAAAACAATTTCAAAGTACAAGCAGCCCTAAATCTAAAACGTCATTTTTAATAATAAATTAAGTTTAACAATTATAATGTATTTTCAATTTATATATGTCTATATTTATTTGTACATAGATCTACAGTTTACAATGTGCCCCTTTCCTCGGTATATTCATGAAGGGCGCGGGATGAGGGTACAGCCTTCTTCTGGATTTAAACTCCACCAGGTCTGTGATCTTGACGGGCTGCAAAGAATTTTTTATTAATGTATACTTATGTATGTTCGATTTGAGATAAAGACACAAAAAGTTCTTCGAGTATTATCTTTAATATATATAAATTACGTGTCACGTTGTTTGTCCGCGATGGACTGCTAAACTACTTAACCGATTTTATTCAAATTTGCACACCGTGTGCAGTTTGTTCCAACTTGAGAGATAGAATAGTTTTTTGTTGCCGATAAGTGATCCAAAATTTTTTGAATTTAAGGTTTTTTAATAGGACATGACAAAGGATCGTCGAAAAGGGCAGGACGTCTGCCTGGCAAGCTAGTAATTTTATATAACTTTGTTAGAATATTGATCTGTCTCGGCTTCGTATGGGTGATTTTGGGATCTCGACAACAGCGCCACCTACCAGGTCCAAATGTGAATCTAAACTATCCAGGGACCAACACAAACACACACAAAAAACTTCATCAGAATCAGTCGAGCCAGATTCCACTTTTAGCTAAACTAACGTATAACCGGCGATAAATATTGCACATCGACCTTTGAGACACTGGGCTAGTTTAGGCTTCGTAGAGCGTTATCTCTGTCGCACGAAATACAAACAATCCGTAAGTCAGTGTGCGACAGAGATAACGCTCTGCGAAGCCGAAATTAGCCGATTGTCTCTTTCCAAAGGTCGATGTGCAATATTTACCGCCAGGTACTGTACAGCAATTGATTTTGTATATTTATAGGTTTACCATTTCATCCTTTGGTTGTCGTAAGAGGCGACAGAGAAAAACAAATCAGGAGACGGGCAGCAGCGACTCCCTAACAACAACCTAATAATAAAAAAAAACTTCGGTTGCCAAATGATTCAAGCGTGGCAACTATGGCAAATAAATAGGTGAGTGACAAGGCAATCTACGAGGGAGCGCTATGTTCATCAGTGGTCTTTAAAGAGCCTGTAACGGTAATAAGCTACCGTACTGATTGATGAGGCGCCACCTAGCTAAATTTAATTTTGCAACATATTCAATTTTCCTACGGGAATGATATGTTTTTGCGCTGAAAAAAGTAGCCTATGTCACTCTACAGCCACCGAACTATCCCCATACCAAAATTCATGCCATGCCGACGCTCTGTTGCGACGTGAAAGAAGGACAAACTTTTGAAACATATTCTATTTTCCCACGGGAATGAGATGTTTTTCCGCGGAAAAAAGTAACCTATGTCACTCTACAGCCACCGAACTATCCCCATACAATACATATTTGTCTCACGTATGTCACCAATTAAAATAAATGGTCAGAAAAAACTGTCAGTCGTAGGACTGCACGTCAAGTTGCTGATCATAGATCTCCCCTGTGGAATGCCACAATGCACGGTCCTGAGCTACCTGCATCCTTCGACTTCCTGCATCCTTCGGCTTCCTGCATCTTTTACCAGCTCTTCACTCCATATTGTGCGGGTTGGCCCTACATTTCGTCGGCGCGGCCGTATTCCGTCAACTTCCTAGCGGTCTCATGAGGTCGCACCCACCCACAGCACTTTAACCCATAAAAACTTATTTACAGAGACTACTTTTTAATTCAAACTTTTTGTTTTTATTTTTTGTAAAATATTAGTGCCATAGGCTTCTACTCCGATCACATGTTACACCCATTTTTCTTCCAGACGGTAAAAAAGGTCATCCAGTATAGGATACAAGTAATTATTCGATACTTTACTTTCGATACCAAGTAGTTTTAGCATCGAATCAATCTTGCGATACCCATATATTAAAATAAAAGTATTTGGTATCGAAACGAATGAGACCGAGCGAATGACACTTTATAATTTCCGAATGCATTTTAGTGAACAAATCTAGCAGATTGAAATCCCTCTCTGTCTCGGTCCTATATTAAAATTATATTACAATCTCAAAATATCTGCAACAGTTACTGTTTTTGAGCAATCTGGATGCATAAGTTTTTTTTTCTGTAATTTGTGTTAGTTCTTTTTTCATTGTTTATAAAGTATAAACCCTTCCTTACTCTAAATTATTGAATGTGTGGCTATTGTTGTGCATTAAAAGTTAAAGTTACAGCCTATATACGTCCTACCGCTGGGCACAGGCCTCCTCTCATTACTGAGAGGGTTTTAGGGCAAGGAAGTGTCCGCCGCGCTGCCCCAAAGCGTGTTGGCGGAATTCACATGTCTTTGAAATTTTTTTTTCTTTCTCAGACTTGCGGGTTTCGTCACGATGTTTTCCTTCACCGCCGAGCACATGGTAAATCAGCACTTAAAATTGCAATTACATTTGTGCCAGCGGGGATCGAACCCGGGTTGCTTGCGTAATATGAAATTTACAGCGAGCGCTAACCATCTGAGCTACCACGGCTCCTTGTTATGTATTATGTGTTGAAAATAAACAAAATCACAATTAATCCTGAGAATATTTTCCTATTATATTCCATAAAAATATCAAAAAAGTACTGATATAAGAAAGTATCGATACTTTGTAGTGTAAGTATCGATACTGGGTAGTCTTATGAAAAGTATCGAAAAATGATTTTGAGTAGGTATCAATATCTTATGATGATCGGAACATATCCACTAATAATATATTATAGTGTTTCAGAAGTGGTTACCTGGGCTCGCGTCTGTGTCCCCTGCGTATCATCCTCTGGGCTCTCCCTCCCACTCCCCGCACTCGCCCCATCCCCCGCGGTGCCCGCACCCCCCACCGCGGTGGACACCACGTGGACGGACAGCTTCTGTCTCTCCGTGGACTCCTCGCTAATGTGCTTCTGTAATTCCACAACATTTGTAACAAGTGCTCACTGTAACCAACTAAAAATAATGTCCTCCATATCGAATTCCAGCCAGGACAGTCCACCTGATGGTAAGTGAAAACTGTGGCCCATAGAAATTTACATTTATCCTCGATTAAGAATCAAAATGCATATGCGTCGTAACCCCTTAGGTTTAAGATGGAACGCCTCGGTTTCAGTAAAACGGGTCTCCGGTTCTCTACACTCAGCATACGAAACACAGCAGCATTGAGCTGCTATTTTACGCTGGTGTTCTGTGAGAGCGTGGTCCTTCGAGCCGAACCTTTCGTGCTGCAACTATAATATAGCTGCAGCATAACTACCGCCTAAATACGTCATATGTCTACCAGACAATCTCAACGGAGTTTAGCTATCGGCGCAGGACAGGATTGTAGTGCCCAAGTGAATGCGCAAGCACAGGTGCACTCTCTATTGCCCCATTCTCATAGTCCGATGGGACGGTAAACCGACACGACTAGAGAGAGATCTGGCGCAGAATCGACGGCTTTTAAGCAATATGGCGTCTGGTCGTCGCCATATTGAATTTACAAATTACTATCATGTTTTTATTGACACTCGCAAGATTAAGACAAATTGATTGACGTAAGAAGCATCAAAATGGGCCCACGCATTTATTTTCTACAGCGCCACATACGAACAAACATACTTAAATGCATGCACACATCAACAGAATCTGGGGATACCTCAATCCTGAATTATTTACTTTATAATTTAAAATCTTTTTAGTTCCCACAAAAAGTTTATATACAGATTCAAACCTCTTTTATTCTATTTTTAAAAGTAAATAAAAGAAAACGAATGAAATAAATACGGTGGCAAAAATATTAGTAATTCGTTACGTCAAGGAAAATTAAAATTGTTACACTAATAATAATGTCCTCCAGACCGAATTTCTGTCACAGCAGCCAGCCTCAACGAAGACTAGCCATCGGCGCAGGACAGGATTATAGTGCCTAAGTGTATGCGCAAGCACAGGTGCACTTTCTATTCCCTCACTCTCATAATCCGATGGGACGGTAAACCGCCACGACCGGAGAGAGATCAGGCGCAGGACCAACGGCTTTACGTGCTTTCCGAGGCCCGGGGGTGAGACACCGCCAACTTACTGACTCCGGGCAGCTACTGAGAATTTCTTGACAGATAAACTCAATAATTGATTTTTTGGCACGACCCGGGATTCGAACCCAGGACCTCATGATCAGCAGTCGCACTACTACAACCACTAGACCAACTAGGCAGTCAAAGTCCTTATTCAATAATTAATATTAGTGTTCTACTGATATAAAAAAAAACATAACCGTTCCTTGGCAGTCGGGTAATTAATGAAAAGGGATTAGATTGTTTTTCTTTTTTTTTTTAATTTAACGTGCCGTGTGAGCTTTAAGAGTCATGTCACGTCGTCTTTAGAATCGAGATGAAATGTTACGAGCCGTTTGCATGTTAGAAATTGGTGCTATTAAACGTGCAGTTGCTGAGGCCCTACACACCAGCCAAAACGTGATATCAAGGTTGTGGTCACGTTGTGGTAGTACTGAGGATGTGGACGGACGGCACACGGGTATATCGTGTTACTACGCAGAGACAGGATCGATTTCTCCATATGACCGTACAATGACAACACAATATCACAGCGATGCAACTACTATAAACGCTCCAGGAGGACCACCAGCCGCTGGTAAGCGATCAAATCGTGCGAAGGGGGTTGCATGAAGTTGGTCTTCATGCTCGAAGACCGCTACGTGTTCCAGCAATGCTAAGTGCCAATCGCGGTCGGCAGATTTCGTCGGCCCGTGATCATTTGCCATAGAGTGACGAACAATGATCTTTGGTGCTTGGGGGGGGTGGGGGGGGGGTGTGGGTTGTTTGTGGGGGCCGGGGGGGGGGGGGGGGGGGGTTTTTTTTTTTTCTTTGCCCCGCTAAGTGGTTAAGAGGGTTTTTTTTTTGATTTTTTCTTTTGACCTTGAGAACTCCAGGGAGAGTTAGCCATCTACGGCACCCTCAGGAGGCCCACTCATACCAAGCCGGGACAATCATGGTGTGGGCAGGAATTCATCTTGGCGGATGAACCCAGCTCGTTTGGATCCAAGGCATCATGACCGGACAAAAATACCACGAAATTGTAGTAGAGCCTGTTATTGTCCCACACAGACACCAAATGGGCCAGGAATTTCTACTCATGCACGATAATGCTCCTTCCCATACGGCGCGGCTGGTGTCGGCCGTTCTGCGAGACCACGATATTTAAGTTCTGTATTGGCCTGCAAAGTAGCCCAACTTAAGTCCTATCGAGCATGCATGGGACATGTAACAACGAAAAGCTTTGAGAGATTTCCCGCCGAGTTTGACGTTGGAACAACTTTACGAACATTTGCAAAGAACGTGGGACCTCATACCGCAGCAAGACATTGACAATTGAATTTTAACTATGAACTATCCATGTCGATGTGTAACTAATGTAAGAGGTGGCAACAGTGACTATTAAAAATATTTTTTTTAAATTCAATTTTAATTAATATTAATAGTTTTATAAGAAGAAATGAAGTTTTTTTATCATTCCAATTTTCTACGGCAATTAAAAAAAAACTTTTTTATTTGAAACAAAAAAATTTGAATATGTTTTTTATTTTTTATTAAAGACCCTAAAATAACCTACCATTCTTTCATTCCAATATCAGAAAATTCTTCGTAGATTTTTAGATATTTGATGAAATATATACATAGATACAGCCTATATACGTCCCACTGCTGGGCACAGGTCTCCCCTCATTTCTGAGAGGATTTTAGGACAAGGAATATTCCGCCGCACTGCCCCAATGCATGTTGGCGCACTTAACATGCCTTAAAAATATTTTTTCCTTATTTATCAGACAACATGTAGGTTTCCTTTCGTTTTCCTTCACCCCCGAGTACGTGGTAAATCAACTTGCAATTGCAATTGAAAATTTCACACACACGTGATGATCGACCTCACATTACCCTCCCGCAGTCGGGTAAACAGAAGTCATACTATCGAATAAAAACTTTCTAAACTGACCTTGTAGAATTGTATCAACTCCTCCTTGGTGATAGTGTTAAGCTGTTCCACTTCCACTCGGGGCCTCTCGAAGTTGTACACCTGAAAATAAAGGTAACATTTATGAGATTATCCAATCGACTTTACTCCATACAGAGTTGACTTTGCCGTACGAGACCAACACATCAAAGTTTCATCGTTATTAAACTTTGGAATTATAATATAAGTAACTTAAAAAAATATTAAAAATTCCATTAATAGGTAAAATACATGGAACTCGAAAAAATCGCTACTAAACCCGTTACGTCAGAATGAGTTTTTATGTTCATTTTTTACTTGATATTGATAGATTATGGTTCCAAATGAAAGAGTATGTCTTTGTCTATGTCTTTGTTATAGTTTATAATGACAAACCTCGGACGGTCGGGTTGGCCCTCATAAATTCTTAAGGGACACGTGTGTCCCTCTACCGAGCGAGTGTCGGCGCGTCGTGTCGGAGACACATGTGTACCATAATCATTGACGTCGCTACAGGTTACGGTACAACGCGATTCAAAAAGGGTAGGAACGTCAATGATCTCGAATGACCGCGATCTGTCAACTGTCACTTGAAAAGTACGGCTTGCAAAGAAAATTAATTTTCCACTTTTATATTTATTTAACTGAGTCTTAGTATTACCAAATCCATTGAAGTCATAATAAATTTTAAACATAATTTTAAAATATTGATACTAATCGGTGGAATATTTTAAATACCTACATAAATGCATGTTCTACCTTTATAAGGGAAAGCAGCAACGATGATGATGACGATGATGATTACTTGGACAGTGATGCAAGCAGAGGTGAGAGGAGAAGTGCTAGATTTCGATCAAAACTTTTTCTTTCATGTTTCTTTTGTATTTATTTATAAATTAATATTATTTCAAAAATATCTGTTTTGCTCACCCTACTCAACTGATTTGAATTGACACTTCCATAGTGTAACGTCATTGCTATGACGTCACACTATGGCGCCAGTTGAGTTATTATTTAAATCGTATAGTATCAACTTCTATATTTCGGTTTCAAAGACCAAAGAACCATAATTAATCATTAAGTTAATCTTTCCTACAACGAGAGAGGATTATCTTCAGCAGAGCACCTGGAATTTACAGGATGATGAAGAGCAGAAGATAATATTTAATAGTATTTGTAAGCATCCTTCTGGCCTTATGAGGAAGCGGGCTATGGAGAGGGATATGCTCGGGTTTTCTTTGCGTGATAAACTTAAGTATGACATTATTAATTAGATTAGTAAGCTGAAGTGGCAATGGGCCGGCCATATAGCCCGAAGAACCGACAAGCAATGGGGAAGAAAGGTTCTCGAGTGGCAGCCTCGTGCCATGAATCGACAGGTGACTCAGGACTGTGCCTTGAGGCATTCCTTGGAGGAGGCCTTAATAATCAGCAGTTTTTCAACTTTTAAAGGGCTGTAGTGATGATGATATGATTTGTAAGTTGTGGTTAACATTGTCAGAGGAAAATAGTTATTATAACATTAGCAATAGAAGCCAAGGACTACACAGAGGGTACCTGTGAGGAGATCTCGCTCCAAAGCTGCGAGGCCTTGCTGCTCATCCTCTTGGGCTTCTCCAGACGCTGGGCGGCCAATGCTGCACGGTGCTTTAGGAACTCCTCCTCCGACATCTTGTCCAGGTATTCCTGGAACGGGTAGAAACGTCATATATGATGAATTTGGTGATCGCTACCAACAAGCTATTTCTAATTTGGTTTGTGTTGTTAATTGTAATAAACATTTACGATCGTAAGCTGTTTTGTTTTCGAAAAGGAAATCCCGCTGGGTTTCTTGCTGCTTCTTCCCAGGACAGAGGTAATTTCCGAACCATTAGTAAATTAAACATAAGAGTGACTTCAATAAGTATTATTTATAATCTATATTGAATGAAAAAGTTTGTTTCTGTATAGTATTTAATTTGTGCAACGGGTACCATCGCTTTGGTAATTCAAATCAACCACCAAAACCAACTACTCAAGTGGTAGATTACAACTATAATTACAGCACGAATGGCGCAGTTCCACTGGAGAAGGACCACGCTCTCGCAGAATACCAGCGTGAAATATCAACTTAATGCTGCTGTGTTTCGTATGGTGAGTGTAGAGAACCGGAGACCCTTTTTACTGGAAATGAGGCGTTCCATTGTAGACCTCTGGAGTAATAGCAACTGCGTTTTGATTTTTAATCGAGGATAGATGTAAATGTCTATGGGCCACAACATCCACTTAACATCAGGTGGACTGTGAGGTCGTTTGTAACCCTTATTCTATAGAAAATTATGAGGGTGTATGCCGCGCTGCAGTATGTAGCAAAGTTGCTCCAGCATCACATAACATCAGACGAAGGCTGCTTACAAAATCAAACAAGTGGCAAACCTGGCAGCTCCAGAGGAAAGCCTTGATCCTCTCATCCAAGTATGACGGGTGTCCGTCGCTCTGCATTATGTAGCCAAGTTGCTCCAGCATCACATCACGCCAGTGCAATAACAAACCTGGCAGCTCTGAAGGAAAGCCTCGATTCTCTCCTCCAAGTATGAGGGATGTCGGTTGCTCTGCACTATGTAGCCAAGTTGCTCCAGCATCACATTTCACCCGTGCAATAACAAACCTGGCAGCTCCGAAGGAAAGCCTCGATCCTCTCCTCCAAGTATGAGGGGTTTCGGTCGCTCCGCACTATGTAGCCAAGTTGCTCCAGCATCACATCACGCCAGTGCAATAACAAACCTGGCAGCTCCGAAGGAAAGCCTCGATCCTCTCCTCCAAGTATGAGGGGTTTCGGTCGCTCTGCACTATGTAGCCAAGTTACTCCAGCATCACATTGCACCCGTGCAATAACAAACCTGACAGCTCCAAAGGAAAGCCTTGATCCTCTCCTCCAAGTATGAGGGGTGTCTGTCGCTCTGTACTTTGTAGCCAAGTTGCTCCAGTTGCATATCACACCAGTGCAATAACAAACCTGGCAGCTCTGGAGGAAAGCCTCGTTCCTTTCCTCCAAGTATGAGGGGTGTCGGTCGCTCTGCACTATGTAGCCAAGTTGCTCCAGCATCACATTCCACCAGTGCAATAACAAACCTGGCAGCTCCGAAGGAAAGCCTCGTTCCATTCCTCCAAATATGAGGGGTGTCGGTCGCTCTGCACTATGTAGCCAAGTTGCTCCAGCATCACATTCCACCAGTGCAATAACAAACCTGGCAGCTCCAAAGGAAAGCCTCGTTCCATTCCTCCAAATATGAGGGATGTCGGTTGCTCTGCACTATGTAGCCAAGTTGCTCCAGCATCACATTCCACCAGTGCAATAACAAACCTGGCAGCTTTGGAGGAAAGCATCGATCCTCTCCTCCAAATATGCAGGGTGTCGGTCGCTCTGCACTATGACGCGGAGACCTTGCACACCGTTGGAGCGACGGACGCCGCTAAAAACTATGTAGCCAAGTTGCTCCTGAAACAAATGATTAAATTAATGAACGCTGATTTAAATGCTGGCAATGTCTTTATTTTATTCAATATATAGTGGCTGGCAATACGACTGCCTCGTTGGTCTAGTGGTTGTAGTAGCGCGACTGCTGATCATGAGATCCTGGGTTCGAATCCCGGGTCGGGCCAAAAAGTCAATTATTGAGTTTTTCTGTCAAGAAATTCTCAGTAGCTGCCCGGAGTCAGAAAGTTGGCGGTGTCTCACCCCCGTGCCTCGGAAAGCACGTAAAGCCGTTGGTCCTGCGCCTGATCTCTCTCCGGTCGTGTCGGTTTACCGTCCCATCGGACTATGAGAGTGAGGCAATAGAGAGTGCACCTGTGCTTACGTATACACTCGAGCACTATAATCCTGTCCTGTGCCGATGGCTAGTCTCCGTTGAGGCAGGCCACCGTGGCCAAAATTCGGTCTGGAGGACATCATTATGTAGTGGTGGTGTAAGAATATCCACTAGTCCATATCATCCCGTGGGTGTCGTAAGAGGCGACAGAGGGAAACAAATCAGGAGATGAAAAGCAGCGTCTTCCTAATAACGAATAAAAATAATAAAAAAACTGCAGTAGTTAACTCGCATGCTAAGCGTGTCCATGAAAAAATCTCCTCTAAAAGACTGCATGATAAGAAAATTCTTTTGTAAATCGCTGTTTCAGATCAATTTTTTAAATGAGTCTTTTTTATAGCGCTGAGGGCCGCGGGTTCGAATCTCGCACGTAACAGACATTTGTATGGCCTACAAATAATTGTTCCGGGTCTGGATGTTTGTCCTTGTGCAATTTATGTATGTAAATTGCCTCCACGATACAGGAGAATATCCTAGTCTGGGGGTAACGTTTTTTTTAAACAAAAAAAAATCACTGTTAACAAGACGTTTCAGCTTGATCCGCAGGGGTAACGATGCATTTTGATTCTCAATCGAGGATAAATGTATGTACATAAGGTGGACTGAACTCTACACTCGTTTTGTCACCCTTGCCAAAAAAAGAATAAACATAAAATTTATACGAGATCAGTGTAAGGGTACACGACACTTAGCGTTCGTGTCACAAACCTCCCCTTCGCCCTTCCCCGCCTAAAACATCGCCAACACCTTGACTCCGGTTTGTCACTGAGAATTTCTTGAAAGTAAAACCAAATAACTGATTTTGCTCGAACTGGATAACGAACTCAGGATATAAACACATCAACAAACTTGTGGTATGTATGGGTATTTTACGTCTGACTTCAGGCATAAGGTAAAAAAGTTAAAAATAAACAGAATTCATTAATTCAATTTATTCATATATTGTAGATGTTGTAGCGGTGTAAGAATATATTCTACGTCATATCATCCCGTAGTTTTCATAAGAGCCGACAGTAGGAAATGAAATACCAACATCTCCCAGATAACAAAGTGAAAATATAACGCGGTTTCCAACCCGCTTGCCAAGCGTGGCAAGTATGGCAAATTATCCGCCTGTGAGGTGGCAACTTTCAAGCTGTTAAAATAAATTTTGTAAATAGTTTGTACAACCTTTCATATTGTATAACTTACTTTTGAACCAATCATTTGTTTAAATCATTTTGTGCCAAAATTATAGAATATTTTAAGCTCTTCTAACTTCCCGATTTCATTAGCTAACTAACAATATTAATTTTAAGCTACTTTTTCGAACACTATAGCATTAACCTCTCAACCCCCTAGCGGTCTCATGAGACCGCGGCCATATTCCGTCAAATCCCTAGCGGTCTCATGAGGTCGTAGCCACCCACAGCACTTTAACCCATAAAAAGTTATATATAGCGACTACTTTTCTAAGAAGTTTTTCTAAGTTTAGCATTATATAATCAATATGAAATACTCTATCCTCTAGTGCAATAAAAAAACTGTTATCCTATGAATATTTATTTATAATCTACGTTCATTTCGTACGCCATTTTCGCGTGAATGTTATTGTGTTGATTTTTAGATTTTTCTAGTGTTTTATTAGTGTTTTAGTATAGTGCTTTATTATAAAATTGTAATAAAAGTTTTTGTGTGAATATAATTTATCTTTTTACGTAAATAATTTCGAGTAATATATATTGAAATAATTGTGATTTTCACGCTGCCGACATTCGCTTGGTATGTTTTTTTTTTTGTTATCAAAATACGATAAAATCTTTTTGTAATGAAGTAAAACCTGACTTTTGTTTAGACCACAAGATAGAGAATTTTGTATAGATTTTTAATTTCTTCATAGAAAAGTGGTCTATAAATGAAGTTTTAATGGTTCTTAGTGTTGTGGGTGGGTGCGGTCGCATGAGACCCTCGGGATTTGCCGGGCGCATGCGACTGCATGGGATTTTTATGGCAATTGAAGGGCGCTTTATAGCGCTTTGATCACACAATATATAACACACCAACCTTAGTCCTGAGCACGTTGAAGCAAGGTTCAGCCAACGCTTGGGCCAGCAGCTCTAAAGTCACGTTGGCCCGAGTGGCTCGAACTCCACACGCGTAGTACAGGGACGCACAGGAGGATTTGTGGACTGAGTTTTCCGTCTCCCGAAGGAACCAGGACCCTGCAAAAGTTGCATTTATATTATTTGAATTTATTGAAGTAAAACTTCTTTACGCACGCTTGACTTGGGGATTAAGCTGGCGAACGCATGACGAGAGCGTTACGAAAAGTGTGATCGGTGAGGCGAACGGGAGTTGAGTGGGGAATATAAGCAAGAGAGAGCAGTGCGCGCGCACATTTTCTTTCTCTCTTTCTCTCATAACCAGTTATTTTATTCGAATTTTTTTCAATTTTATGTATTAATATTTTGTTCAACACAATACATATTCTACTTTTAAATTGAATAAAATTGTAAATTCATTTTAAAGTTCATCTTATGTGAATTTTCGGGTGAATAATAACAAATTATGGAAGGAAGCCGATAATAAATTTAAATATTTGTAGAAAATTAATATATGTATATATTATATATGCATATAGTGATGTGTACGATAGAATAATGGATCTTTGTAATCTGACAATATCTTTTTTATAGAATAAGGGTGACAAACGAGCGTATAGTCCACCTGATGATATATGGACACTGTGGCACATAGACATTTACATCTATCCTTAATGAAGAATTAAAATGCAGCTGCGTTGTCACCCCTGAGGACTAAGATGGAATGCCTCGATACCAGTAAAAAAGGGCCTCCGGTTCTCTACACTTACCATACGACACACAACAGCATCAAGCTGATTTTTTACGCTGGTATTCCGTGAGAGCGTGGTCCTTCCCTGGTCGAGCCGACCCTTTCGTGCTACAACCATAATATAACTGCAGCCCGGCCAAGATGGAATAAAATCGTTATACATAACGTGGTTATACGCACAGTCCACCTTGATGGTATATGGATACTGTGGCCCATAGATATCTATCCTCAATAAAGAATTAAAATTCAGGTGCGTTGTCATACCCCAGGACTAAGATGGAACCCCTCCCTTGCAGTAAAACGGGTCTCTGGTTCTCTACACTCACCATACGATACACAGCAGCATTGAGCTGGTATTTAATATTATTTGTTGCAAAATTAAATTAAATAGCCTTCCTCATCACGTCGTAAACATTCCACTGCTGGAATTAGGCCTCTTACACAACTGGATATTCCTGCTATAATCGTCACGTTAAGTTGACTACTAGGCGATTTCAATACCAAACGTGAGCACCTTGGAAATTGCTCTTTTAGCAGTCAAGATATTTCAGGTCTATATAACTCCACTTTGAGAAGCCATCAAATCACATATAACCAAGTTAAGCCACGTTAAGTCATCAAGGAACAAGGATACGCCTCCAAAATACCATACAAGTTCAACTTTGGAGCTAAATGAGATCACAGTCCAACAATAAGTGGTTACTGTGGCCCTTACACACCTATTGCACTTTATATTTGTTAATTCAGTTCAGCCAGGTTAAGTCTTCAAGAATACGTCTCTAAAATACCATACAAATGCAACTTTGGAGCTTAATGAGATCACAGGTCAACAATAAGTGGTTACTGTGGCCCATACACCCAATGCACTTTACATTTGTTAAGTCAGTTCAGCCAGTTTAAGCCACCAAGGATACGCCTCTAAAAAATACAAGTGGATTTTTAGTACATTATGAGATATCACAGTCCAATAGTAAGTAGATGCAGTGGCACATACACAAGTATATCTATCTATCCGTCCATTCATTATACCGTACAAAAGTCAACTGCTGAACAAAGGCCTCCCCCGTAGATTACCTCACAGGAGGGATTTCGCCATAGTTGCCACGCTTTGCTAGGAAGACGCTTCGTTAAGTCTCGTGCGTCTCTAACACTTCAATTCTCTCTATCAAGACAAAGTGACTGTGACATCACAAAACTTTACGACAACTTAAAATAAGCATTGTTGCGCGCTATAATTAACCCTTCAAGCGCCATAAAAATCCCATGAAGTCGCATGCGCCTGGCAAATCCGGAGCGGACGCATGCGACCGTACCCACCCACAGCACTTAAAACCATTAAAACTTATATTTAGAGACTACTTTTCTAAAAAGAAGTTTAGCATTATAAAATCTATACAAAATTCTCTATCTTGTGGCCTAAACAAAAGTCAGGTTTTACTTCATTACAAAAAGATTTTATTGTATTTTGATAACAAAAAAAAAACATACCAAGCGAATGTCGGTAGCGTGAAAATCACAATTATTTCAATATATATTACTCGAAATTATTTACGTAAAAATATAAATTATATTAATACAAAAACTTTCATTACAATTTTATAATAAAATACTGCACTAAAACACCAGAAAAAACCAAAAATTAACACAATAACATTCACGCGAAAATAGCGTGCGAAATGAACGTAGATTATAAATAAATATTCATTGGATAACAGTTTTTTTATTGCACTAGAGGATAGAGCATTTCATATTAATTATATAATGCCAAACTTCTTCATAGAAAAGTAGTCTCTATACATTAGTTTTTATGGGTTAAAGTGCTTTGGTGGATGGGTGCGACCTCATGAGACCGCTAGGGATTTGACGGAATATGGCCGCGGTCTCATGAGACCGCTAGGGGGTTGAGAGGTTAATGCCTGGTACATGGAGACATTAGTTACCACTAGTGTCCTCTAGTATCGAGTAGCAGAACTAGGAGAGTCAAGATCCTTCTAGAGATTTCTATGCCAGAACTTTCTACAACCAGTCAGTCGGAACCGGTATGTACTCGAACATTCTAGATGTTTCAGTAGAAGAGGCCCTACTAAGGCCGGTATCGGTCGCGACCCGAGTCACTATTGAATTGGCAATTCAAGTGAATACTTCGAAGCGATATAACCGCGTATCGCTATCGTACAGTAATATCGTTTAGTACTAGGTCATAACTCACCTTTCTCCAGCTCCACTTCCCGGTACAGCATGAGCTGTTGAGCCAACAAGGGAGTCGCGTCCTTGGGCAATCTAGAAACGAAAATGTTTCAATTATTGAAGTGACAACTTGTTTAGAACTGTTCTGATTTGAAACCAGGCCTGTCTCACTCCGCACTTTAGGTTATAAAAATATACCTACACTACGCGGCCCCCTACAAGGAGCTAATTCAGTGAGGTTGCCACTCGCGCACTCGAGCTGACGCGCGCCTTGCGTTAACAAAAACAAAATATTTTTCTCTTCTAAGTATTTAGGCACTTTTGATAGTTAAATTTGAATATTTATTCAAGTATGGCCTCTCAATATGCCAAAAAGTACTACATAGCATACGGGTGCTTAAATAACAACAGGAATGTCGACTTTTCATTATTTACTGTTCTTAAGGGTACACTAGTCGCTTATTGTTCCATACAAACGTAGTCCGGCGATTACTCCACTGTTTGATGGTGTACGTAAAAAATAAAAAATGATTTCAATTTGTCTCATCATTATCTAGCCCTGTATGGAAAAAAAAGTAAAAAAGAGTATGTTTAGAAGTTATAAGCGTCGAAAATTCCGAATTTCAACACTAGTTTTAACACATCTTTGGGCGGAAATAAATACCATAAGAAGACCGAAAATTGCAAAACAGTTACCATACAGGGATAGATTAGTTGTTCAAAAATGCAAATAATTTTATTTTAAACAGATACATTCAATAGATTTTTCGTGACATCCAGACTCCAAAAGGTCTGTTTATAAATTTCGAGCGCCCGTTTTTGTTATAAATCATCTTGCCTTACGCTACAAATTGTTTCCCCGATCAGTGGGACGGACGGAGGGGGGGGGGGGGGCGCACTCACACATGCTCACTAGGTTAGCCGCTGCTATCTATTTATGGTTGTAATACCTACATATCTACATCTTTATTTAGAAAAATTGCTTCCTTTTGTTCGTGTCCACTGCTGAAGCCGGGATGAATATAGCTGCTAAAATGTGCCCATAAGTTTGTTGAAGCACATTTAGTTAAAATTGAAAACAGGTAGGTACATAATAATGAACTTTCGATACAGGTAGTACATTAGGTACTTAACTACTTTAATTTGCTAACTAACGAAAACATCTCATAGATAAGCACGATTATCGAAAATCTTAAAATTATCTATAAATTTAATTAGAATAGGTAATTTTTAGATTTTCGATAATCGTGCTTACGTATAGGAATCTCATATCCTAATATACCTAATGTAATTTATGTAAGTACATAATAATCTAAGAAGGGCAGTCAATGATAAATAAAATGTGTTTTGCAAGTTGTTTTTTTTTTAAAACACTTTAACACAACAAAAATATGAAACTGAGAAGAAGCACCCGATCTGCCGAAACAAACTCAGAGAGGTCTGTCCAGGTATTACATTGGTCATGTCATACAAGAACCAGGCTAATATGGTCCTTTGAAGAAAGAATCATAAAGATGTGAGTGGACAACTTAGTACTTTTTAGGATTCCGTACCCGAAGGGTAACCAGCAGGGCCCTATCACGAAGCCTCCGCTGTCCGTGTGTCTGTCTGTCAGCGGGCTGTATCTCATGATCCGTAATAAGTAGGTAGATGGTTGTAATTTTCACAGAACGTGTATTTCTGTTGTAAGTGGTAAAAATAAATTTGAAATTAATGCTTACGCGATGACGCCGTCTCGCATTGCGTCACTCGAGTGCGTATGTGTGTGCGCACTAGCTTCTTACTGCTCATCACAGCGTCTATCCCTTTTGCACGTGATGTCGGCTGAGATAGCATGCATTTTTACCCCGCCCACCACTTAGTTCGACTAAGGCAACCTTAAGGATACCGAAAGGTAAGATATTATTATTTACGGGTAGATCTAGGTAATTAGGTACCTAATTACTGACGCTATAGTTACAGATTTATTATGCATTTAATTAGCGACCCGACCACATCTTCGCGTTTTTCTATTATTTTGCGTATAATGCCAATAACCTTAAAATCGTTCAGTATAAGTAGAACTCAGTGGCGTAGCTACCTTGGGTGGCACCCGGTGCGGAAGTTTGTGATGTCACCCCACCGAAAGTAAAAAGCAATAAATTTTATATGATAAAGGACATGGATCATTTATTATTGATAATATTGAAGAAATAACAAAACACAATAATAACTATGACAGAAAAGGGATTATTATACAATTAAAATTTCTTCTTTCTAGCTTTGACAGCTGCAAACTCAGCAATAACTTCATCGAAACTTATATTTTTTATTACGTCGTGTTCGATGGCTAATATACCAAGATTACTAAGCCGCGATTGGGTCACTGTTGCCCACAAGTGTGATAGTTTTTTTTATTAATTTTAATGTACTGAAACTCCTCTCACATGAAGCTACGGACACGCAAACCGTCATGAACAACTGTTGCAACTGAGACGTCAAAGATCGCGAGTATGGGACGGGGAATCCCCCACGACAGCCTCAGCCTCTTTTACGGGAAATCCCGAATTATCCATAGAGCTGAGCTAGTGCTAGTGGAGGAATCCCCGAAAAAGAAATTTTTGTGCTAGCGATTTTTTTTTTGTTTGTACATTGTTCTTAATTTGTAAATAGCAGAAAATGTGAAAAAGACAAGTGGTGAAATTAAACATTTTGTGCAACGGACTTTAATATGAATAAAATAAGAACATCATAAATAAAATAAGATCAAGTCAATTAAATACGCATTATTAAGGATAACTCAAAAACTACTGGTTAGATCTTGATCAAATTTATATGGGACCACATGAGAAGCACCAGTTTTCAAATAAAAAAAGCATAATCAAAACCGGTTCACATACATAAAAAATACAGTCGATTTGAGCACCTCTTCCTGTTTTTGAAGTAGGTTAAAATGGTAAGCTTCTTTATAGAATATAGGTGACAAACGAGCACACAGTCTACTTGATGGTAAGTGGATGCTGTGGCCCATAGACATCCACATTTATCTTCAATCAATAATCAAAACGCAGATGCGTTGTCACCCCTGAGGACTAAAATGTAACGTCTCATTTCCAGTAAAAAGGGTCTCCGGTTCTCTACACTCACCACACGAAACATAGCAGCATTACGCTGTTATTTGACGCTGCTATTCTGTGAGAGCGTGGTCCTTCCCTGATTGAGCCGACCCATTCGTGCTACGACTATAATATAGCTGCAGCGTACCTCTACCATAAATGCTAAATAGGTTTTTATGTAATTTATTCCTACTGTAAAAACAATACTTATCGTAATTATTGCAAATAAAGGAATTCAAATTTGAATTCTCTAGTTGAATGGTTACAAATTTTCATATGGTGGAAGGTAGTTACAAATATGTACCCACTTGGCCTCGATCATGTCCGCCATGGAAAGTGCTCGTTCCCTGGTGAGGTTCCCGAACATCAGCGCCTCCACGTGAACCTTGCGGATCAGTCGACCCACGAACTCATCCAACTGCTCACTGGTTATGCCTGGAACAGACAGACACACATACATGCTCACAGATGTTTTTATATAGAATTAAGATGATAAGAAGATGGTAAGTGGATACATTGGCCCATGGACATCTATATCAATCCTCGATGAAGAATCTAAGTGCAGATGCGTTGTCGCCCATGACGACTAAGGTGGAATGCCTCTTTTCCAGTAGAAGACGATCTCCGGTTCTCTCACGGAATATAAAAAAAACAAGAGGAAGTAGCAAAATGCATAATTTGTACCAGAATCACTGTCGCCAAACTCACACATTCGCAAGAAAGAAATGTGTTCCGACAATTGTGCACCATTTCAATAATTTTCGCGTGATTGGCTAAAGAGAAAGGCATTATGTTACTCACCATTCGCTTAAGGGGATATAGTAAGTCAGCTCAAATTCTAATTCTTCCACTTCCCCGCGACTTCCATTTAATTACGGTTATTTCCCATTTTAATTTTACGTCGTCCTTTTGCGTGATGTGTATTCTAATCGTAAGCGACACAACTTCTCCCTTCAAAAGCCTAAGCGATACGATAGATAACGGGGCGACAGGAATCGAGCTTCAAGACGCCGATAGTTTAGGTAATTTCTTTTATACAGTGAAAATAATGGTATTTAAAAAAAAGTAAATAACATAAGCACTGCTTTATAGTTAGTTCAGTTAGTATGCAAAGTTTCATGATCTTATTTAAAGAATTTTATGAATAACAGCGGTTTATTGTTCAGTTTGGTAACTTTGGATTTTTTTCTATCGAGAAAATTTTACGGAATCGTGTTTTCGTCTAACATAATCCTTAACATTAATCCTCAACTTTACCATATATTTATTTCAAAATTAATGCTGCAATACTTTCGGCATAACGGAGGCTCTTGCTAAGCCATTTGAGGTTATATTTCCCCTTAAGTTCGAATCATAAGTTCTTAAAAATAGATTACTTATTTCCTTTCATCAAGGAAGTTTCTAGAATTAATTACCAATTTAGCTTCTTAACGTTAGATGTCGCAGTAACACCGCAATTAATTGAAAACGCATCATAAGTTCTTATTTTATAGATATCATTGCTACCAGTTCCTCGACTCCACAGAGTCAGTATTTTATTCTTGGGTAATGTATACGCTATTACAACAAAGTCCCAGAAAATACACAAGGTCTCTCTATTACCAAGTTTAAATGTTTAATTAAACAAAAACTGTATAAAAAGGGTTATTGTGATATAAATGAATACATGCTTGTTAATAACCCCTAAGAATGAGGTGGTCGCTTCCAAGCTATTTTTAAAACAAATTTTGTAAATATTTTGTGACCATTCACATTGTAAAATTTATTTTAAAAAAACGTTCCGCTGGGTTTCTTGCTGGTTCTTCCAAGGACAGAGGTTTTTTTCGAACCAGTGGTAACGTAAAAAAGTCAATAACTTTCAATAAGAATTGATTGTTAAAATTGTAATCTATATTGAATAAAAAATATTCTATTCTAGTTCTTTCATTGTCTTAATCCATGTTTCCCGGATTGACAAAAAAATACTATGTGACGCTAGATGTGTATTCACGCTATTATAGACAAAAATTAAATTGATATAACGTTGACTTTGCCCTATCTAACCTATACTGCTACGTGAATGTTGTTAGTGATGTAGTTACTCTGCCTGAGCGTGATACGAGGGTGACATGTACTCACACTTGCGTGTGGCTCCAGCGATGATGTGTACAGCTACCTATAGAACTTCTCAATCTCACACAAAACCTTAGGTGTCCCGGAAACGATACTGCCACACTCAGTCTTCAGCCTTGACAGTTGGCTCTTTCTGGCAGACAGATCTCTGGCAAAGACTTTGGAGCCCTGGTCCCTCTCAATCGCTTCTTCAATACGAGCAGTATTAAAGTTGCGTAAGTCTCGCCGCATGCATTTGGAGATCTGTCTGTTCAGTTGCCTGTATGCTGTCAAATCTATTGACGATTGCAGCCTCATCTCCCGTCTAACAGCCATGAGATTAAGAGTGTGATCGGAGAGTTTTTGTGTTCTTCTGCGGCCGGTCTTGCAGAACTTAACTCCGACCGCATGGACAGTTTCCACGAGCTTGTCATTCATATCGTCCACTGCATTGCAATCTTCTAGGCACTGAAAGCGGTTACGTAACTCGAGCTGAAAGGTTTCGGGATTCTGGATTAGAGCACGAGGGGGACGGAGCGTTGACTTCATTAGACGAGACCTCTCCAACTTGACGTTTAGGTTCAGTGTGCCTCTAACCATTCGGTGATCGCTGCCAGTTTTCACCCTTGCGATCACTGAGACATCACTGAACAGTTGGCGTCTGGTCGTAATAATGAAGTCAATCTCATTTTTTGTCGAACCGTCGGGGCTCGACCAGGTCCACTTCCTGTGGGGCCGCTTCTGGAAGAAAGAGTTCATCATAAAGAGTCCCTCTTTCTCCATAAAGTCGGCCAGCTGCTGGTCCCTACGGTTCCGTTGCCCTACTCCAAATTTCCCTAACTTCAGCTCACCGCTTTCTCTTGTGCCTAGTTTTGCGTTGAAGTCTCCCATCAACACCGTGTAGTGGGTTTTGGAGGAATGCATGGCTCTAGAAATATCCTCATACATTTCCTCCACCTCCTCATCGGGATGTGCCGAGGTTGGTGCGTGAACCTGTGTGACCTTCAGCGAATACCGTTTGGTGATTCTGAGTATCAGGTACGCGACTCTCGTCGACACACTCCCAATCTTTACATCGTTGTTGACGAGAGACTTGTGGGCGATAAATCCGACACCTTCTTGGGACAGATGGTCGCCCACCGGAAACTTGTTCTATCACCGGGAGGGAGTCCCGGTGATAGAAAGTTGCCGGACTTGAGGATTACCGTGTCCTCCCCCTCTCTTCAGAACTCGGATAATCCAATAATATTCCAGCGCAACTTCTCTACCTCTTCTTCCAACTCCAGTATTTTCTCGTCAGTCCTCAGGGCGCATGCGTTATAAGTTGCCAGGTCGAGTCGTCGTAGATGGCAACCGAACCTCCACCGGAGATTCTTAGTAACTCCTGCCCCATCGTTACCATGGTCGCCACCGTAGCCAGGAATAGCGGGACAGCCGGGGACTGGGGGCCGTTTGTTTGCGTCATTATTCATGGGGGGATATTTGCCATAGTTGCCACGCTTGGCGACCGCAGTTTTTCATTATAATACGAGTATTGTTGCTATCAGGAAGATGCTGCTGCCCATCTCCTGCCTGTCTCCCTCTGTCGCTTCTTACGACACCCACGGGAAGATAGGGGGTAGTGGATATTCTCAACCGCCACTACACGGCGGCACTAATATTACAACTATGGCAAATATTTCCCCTGTGAAGCAATCTATGGGGGAGGCCTATGTTCCGCAGTGGACTTTATATAGACTGTAATGGATGGATGTACAGAAGATAATCTACCAGGAGCACATGACCCACCGAGAGGTGAAATTATTAAATCAACAGTAACATTACAACTATGGCAAATATCCCCCCTATGAGGCAATCTATGGGGGAGGCCTATGTTCAGAAGAGAACTTTAATACGCGGTAACGGTAACAGTAACGGTCTTTTTATCCGATTACACTGTAGGTGTCTTCAAGGAAAGATGAATATAGGCTTTTGTTATGTCAGTGCGCTTTACCATCCTCAGTTCCATCACCACTAGTGGGATAGTGACCGAGCACTGGCTCATAATAGTAAAAAACATGCAGTAAAAACAACGTAGTTCTGCTGTATTTTGTATTCTAAGTGATGGGAGCCGATTTTTTCTATTTGTCCTTAGGAAGACGGTGGTGCCCAACTCCTGATTTGTCCCTCTCTGTCGGCTCTTACAGCACTCACGGAACGATATGGGGTAGTGGATATTTTAGGTTTAATATTAATAAATACAACAGAGTGAGAGAAGGCCAGTGTCCAACAGAGAATGGCGAGTATTGTTACCTTTAGCAGCTTCTAGAAGTTGTGAACGGGTCCAAACAAGATCGGACAGGCAGAGAGCTTGATGGTACACGGCATGCTGCAAGAAATATTAAATCAATAAGTTTACTAAAAAAGAAAATATTGGAAAGCAAAAAAAAATTATTGGATGTTATATTTGAATAAATTGAATATTCAAAAATACATGAATTTGAATGTGAAAAACTATGAACGTAAGACTGTTACAGGATACTCTAACACATCCTATATGTAGTAGAGCCACAGATTTCAGTAAAATGGTCTCCGGTTCTCTACACTGACCATACGACACACAGCAGCGTTCATCTGCTATTTAACGCTGGTATTCTGTGAGAGCGAGGTCCTTCCCCGGTCGAGCCAACCCATTTGTGCCGACCCATTTGTGCTCGAACTATGCTATTATTATATCTGCAGCAAGGCTCTACCTCGATTAAACCACGTTTGTTACTGTTGAAATGGGTATCCGGTTCTCTAGACTTACTATACGGAATACCAGCATGAAATAACAAACACGCGTTCAGTGAGAGCGTGGTCCTTCTAGCCAATCCAATCGTGCTATATAATGTGTGCAGCGTTGCTCGTCCACGTAAACTCAACACAGTTCTGTACGCCTTTCTGTTCTACAAACTCTTTCGGAAATAAAAGGATGTCGTGTTCTGCTATGGAACGTATTACGACTACACTATTAATTACTATTAAAAATAGAACTAAGCAAACGAACTGAAAAAACTATGAAAAAGTTCAACTGAGAACACTAACCTGATAAGGTTGCTCTGCCTCGAAATTCTTGATTGCCCTGATGTGGTTCTCCTTCATGATCTCGAACCTCTTGGGGTCCACCTTGAAGTTCACGATGTGGTCGATGATATTCTCCAAGAGCACGTGCTGCTTGTCGTCGTAACCCTCTATCGTAATCTGAGGATATTTTTTATTTTAGCGACATCTATCAACATAATAGAATAGAATAATTTTTAATCAATACAGATTACATGTTCTTCTTATTGAAAGTCGTTAGACAAGGCACATCTTTAGCTTTATAGTCCATTTCTAAAGTTTATATTATAATCATGAAGGTTAGAGTACAGGAGAACGATCAATACGTACTAAAGCATAGCCCGCCTGTCCTTGAAAATTGTAGAATACATAGCGGCGCTGACGTCGGCGAGTAGTGACTGCGAAGTTAGCTGTTTATGAGTACAAGTAGATGAAGTTAGTTGAATAATGGCATTGGTGAGAAAATTTTCATGCTTCGTAATTTTGTAATTTTTGACAAAAAAAAAAATTAAAAAAATGGAGAAATATTTTATTGTGCGTGGACGTGCAAGTGGTTTAGCATCTGATCGGAAAATATACTGAAAATGACTTATATTGACCGAACTTAGCGATCGCAGCGCCTCACTTATGGTGTCCATATTTCTGGAACACTTTTTTCTACGCTGATAGTTCTCCTGTTCTCTAACCTTCATGATTATAATCTAAGATTTATTGAAGCGACATCTGTCGACAAAGTACGTCTTAAGTTTCTTAAGTAGTGTTCCTAAGGCGTCGCCGTGGTTAGTGGATTAGGAAAATCCACTACCCCAATAAATCCGTGGGTGACATTAGAGGCGACAGCGGGAAACAAATCAGGAGATAGGCTGCAGCGTCTTACTGATAACGACTAAAAATAAAATAAAAACTGCAACGTAAAATATTTCTCCTGTGAGGCAATCTATAGGGGATGCCCATGTTCAAAGGACTTTTAATAGGCTGTAAACATGTGTCAATAGTGAATGAAGCGTTCATTCTTTTATATAGAAGAGTGACAAACGAGCACACGATTCACCTGATGGTAAGTGGATGCTGTGGCCCATAGACATCTACATTTAACCGCGCCTAAGAATCAAAATGCAGATGCGTTGTCACCCCTAAGGACTAAAATAGATTGCCTCGATTCCAGTAAAACGGGTCTCCGGTTCTCTATTTTTTATAGGGGGCAAACGAGCATACAGGTCACCTGATATTGACTACCTCTGCCCACGATCAACTGCAACACCAGGGGAATTGCAGGTGCATTGCCGCCCTTTAGAAAGGAGTAAGCTCTTTTCTCTACACTCACCATACGAAGCACAGCAGCATTAAGCTGCTATTATTACTATTCCTTTAAAAATAGTCCAATAGGAAACTTTTTCCCCAATTTTCCACCCTTGGGGTGGAATTATTTCTTCAAAATTTAATGGAACAACCCTTAAGGTAAAGCCTGTTTAATAAAACAGAATCATTAAAATCGTTTTACAATCTGCTAAGATATTGCGTAAAGCAATAAATAAAAACACGCTCGAATTGAGAACCTCCTCGTTTTTTGAAGTCGGTCTAAAAAAGGGTGACGATTAAGGCGAAACCTATCTACAAAATAAACTACATCTGATCAGTCTTAAATCATGATTTTACTCTCAAATTTTTAGGTTCGAATGTGTTGCCAGGTGAAAGGTAACATTTTGTGCGAAGGATCCATCTAGGTAGACCCATCAGTGGGTGCATTCCATCTTAGTGCACAGAGGTGACATAAGTCCAAGTGTATAAATATTTAGCATTAGCTGTGCTGGCTGTTAGGCGACGATGCGTCGAGCAGTGAAAGGCTAAATTTATTGCCAATCAGGAGTATTGCTATTGTGTTGGATACTTGCGTTTCGTATTGGTGATGCTGATTACTAGGCTCAAGCACGTCCAGCAGTGAGGAGCTGGAAGTGGAACTGTTGGTCCAGTGAGTTCGGTATATTAGTTTTGTATCCGCGGTGCCAGTTCCTGGGCTGAACCACGTCCAGCAGTGAAGAGCTGGAAGTGGAACTGACGGTCCAGTGAGTTGGGTATATTAATTTGGTATCCGCGATGTCAGTTAAGGGGCTGAACCACGTCCAGCTGTTAAGAGCTGGAAGTGGAGCTGATAGGCTAGTGAGTTAGATATACCAGTTTGATACTGGCGACGCCAGTTACTGGGCCGAACCAAGTCCAGCAGTGAAGATCTGGAATGAGAACTGATACGTCATTGAGTTGGACACATATAACTAATGTAGGCGATGTTGGCTGTGTTTAGTATTAGAGATACTGGCTGCTGGGCGGAACTTATTCCAGCATTGAGGAGCTGGATATGGAATAGCGCTGGTTGGGCAACTCACACTGAGTCCGTACTTCGCGTTGCCGACATTCCAGCGCAGGCCGGCCAGCTCGGCCGCGTACGCGAACTGCTGCAGCGCGTCGCGCAGCACCAGCACCCACACCGACGTCAGCGAGCAGCTGCTGGGGTCCGAATACGCCAGAGGACTGGACACAACAACAAGTAGAAAAAGGACACATATTATTTGTTGCTGAAACTTGCAGAACATAAATTTCACAAACAAAAAGTAACCTAACATAAAAAAATGAAATATATTAAAAATAAAGTTACAGCCTACAAACGCCACACTGCTACAAAAGCTCACGGGTTACGCGCTCGCTGTAAATTTGTACGCGAGCAACCCGAGTTCGATCCCCGCCGGCACCAATGAAAAACAAAAATGCTACCTATCTCCTAATGAAAATACATGAATCTCATCATGTCTCGAATTGTTTGTCAAAACAAAAATCTGCGAACAAATAGCCAATTTGATAATGAAAAAGAAAGAAGTACAATATATAGTACTCTATACCATTTATACAAGCATAATTCGCTAATCTATATGCTTCCTCGTTACCCATTAGTTAGTCTATATACTGGAATCCATTGCACTCTTGCACAGATGTCGCGTAGACTAAACTGATTTATTTGGGAAAGTATATTATAGGCTATCGAAACACCTCTGATTCCAGAGGCGGATCGAGCCAAATGTTGGATAGCAAGTTTTGCTGTCCGAGTATATAATAATTTTCTTCCAGTTATACCCTTCAGCATACTTTAGGGCTTCGGATATTGCAATGAGTTCAAAGGCCATAATACATATGTCATATATAACTTTAAAGATCTAGAAACTGCTTGGGATGGGTCGAAAAAAGCAGCTCCTTGTTTATTGTGTTGTTATGTGTAGTGTTCGCATAAACATAAGAAATCATTACCGGAACAAGTATATTAAGGGGGGACAGGGAGGGTTACTATGCGGGTAAGTATATTATGATCAGTAGAGCATACCTGACCAAATCGAAGGTGATAAAAGCCTTCGGCAGCATGAACTCGTTGTCCCGTTTGAACCACAGCCTCATGAGCGGAGTGTCCTGAAACATTATTGTGATGATTGTATATTTGTAGGTGGGGGGGATATTAGCACCATCTCCCTTATAGAAACTCAATAAAAAAAAATAATAAAAAAATTCCAGTTGCAAGCGCGGTTTCAAAGCGTGGGAAATCTGGTAAATATGAGATTGAGACAATCTACATTTGAAGCCGATGTTAAGCAGTGGAAGTTAGGTTATAATGAACGAATGGGGCATTCCATTTTAATCAGGGTTGACAACGCATGTGCACTGTGATTTTTAACCGAGATGCAGATATCTATGGGTCACAGCATCCACTTACAATCAGGTAAACTGTGTGCTCGTTTTTTATAGTATAAGAGTGACAAACGAGCACATATTTCACCTGATGTTAAGTCAATGCTGTGGCCCATAAACATCTATATATTTATCCTCGATTAAGGATTAAAACGCAGATGCGTTGTCACTCCTGAGGACTAAGATGGAATGCCTCGTTTCCAGTAAAAAAGGGTCTCCGGATCTCTACACTCACCATACAAAACTCAGCAGTATTAAGCTGTTATTTTACGCTGGTATTCTGTGAGAGCGCGGTCCTGCCCCGGTCGAGCCGACCCATTCGTGCTACAACCATAATATAGCTGCAGCGTGGCTGTGTTACGTATGAACTTATGTCATCCTTATTCTATTTAAAAAAAAACCTGGAGATTCGTGAGATTCGAAATAATTGGATGGTGTTTTCTTTCTTGAGCATAATATTTCAAATACAAATGGCTAGTAATACTTGCGGGCATCGAACTATATAAAACTACAGTTTAAAGAGGTCTTAGGTGATAAAACTTTATTTTTTATCTACATTTCAGGGTTTAAGTTTCATAAATTATTATGTCTTATCGAATTTTATTAATTCTATGCTTTTTGGTTGACCTAGAGGTCGAAATTCCCACTCCACAAACGGGTTCTCGCCTTGCCGTGGTGGGGAGGCTTTTTGACCGGGGTGTGTCATCTATAGTGAATGAAGAAACACCCACGTGGCTTGTCCGAACTGTCCGTTCCGAGTGGGCTCATTGTCCACTTGAAAGGATCTGCTTCACATTCTCCTGTACCGTTGCAACGCGGGTGGATTTGTAAGAAGAGGAGTGTTGATACATTGGCTGCGTTTGGCAGAAAAAAAGCGCTAGGAAGCGCTTGTAAGCAAAATGGCGAAACTAAACAGTTTTCGGCCAGGACACGTCTGCTAACTTCAGTAACGCTGACACAATCCGCCATTTTGCTTCTTTATTTTGTTTGTTTTGAAGCAGAGTTTACAAGTTGTTTTGTGCAAATAGTTTCAAGTAATATAATGACATGAATAAACATAATACACGTTATTAAAAATTCATGATTGGTAAGTTTTTAATATGAATACTTTACAAACATATATTTAAATTAGGTTAGGTTTCACGGTTAAAGCTAACTTAGTGTCCTAGAGGAAACTAGCTATTTATCAGTTAACAGCGCTTACCGCTTACGATCGCCATTTTGCTTACAAGCGCATGCTAGCGCTTTTTTCTGCCAAACGCAGCCATAGAAGCATCCTCCGCAAATCTGCGGTTGTGCGACGTAGAGGGCACGTTATGAATTTCAGTCGTTAAAAGTTGGACGTAATGTTGTACATAGTATTATATACTGGATGATATTTTTTACCGTCAGGAAAAAATAGGGTTCTAACAGGTGAACGGAATAGAAGCCTATGGCACTGATATTTAACTTTTTTTTACATTAACATATTACGAAACTGATCGATCAAAAAATACTACTAATTTGGTGTGCATTATTTTAATTTCGATAGTTTTTTTTTTATTGATTTATTAATTTAGTTAAATTTAAAGTTTATATTCAGATTAGTAGTATTCATTGATAGATTAATTTCATAATATGATAATGTAAAAGTAAAAAAAAAATGTAAAATATTAGTGCCATAGGCTTCTATTCCGTTCACCTGTTAAACCCTATTTATATTCCAGACGGAAAAAAAATCATCGTGTATAGTAATGTAATGTATATATATATATATATATATATATATATATATATATATATATATATTAATGTAACATGAATAATGTGCATAGGCTTATCAGGTACCTTGATGATAGCAGGCGCCACGGAGTCCAGCGTGGGGTCAGGGCTGCGCTCGAGCCGTAGCACCGTGGGGACGAACTGGTTGGGCTCCGGCAGATGCAGCGTGTCCCCCGCACGCGCGTTCCGCCACACCTGCAACCAATTCAACGCTTACCACGTGCCACTGCCGTGCCTGGCTAACTCCATATAGCACCATAATGCTGCTGTGTTTCGTATACTGGGTGTAGAGGATCAGGTACCTTTTTACTGGAACCGACGATTTTCATCTTAGTCCTCAGGGGTGACAATGCATCTGAATTTCGATCCTCAATCAAAGTGTCGCACAGCATTTATTCATCATTAGATGAGGCTATGTGCTCGTTCGTAACCCGTACTTCTATAATAGAAATTCCCCCCCCCCCATCTTAGTAAGTACACCTGCTAATACACAAATCAACTATCGCGTTCATCATACTAAATCAAACGCTAAGCAAATAGAAAATTCACTAGGTCAACTGCATTACAGCAAAACTAAAAAAAACTATGTTACTTTTTTTAGAATTAGTGGATGCTGTGACCCATAGACGTCACATCTAACCTCCATTGAGAATCAAAATACAAATGCGTTGTTACCCCTGCGAACTAAGATGCCTCGATTCCAGTAAAACGGGTCTCCGGTTCTCTACATTCACCAGCATCAAGCTGCCATTTTACGCTGGTGTACTGTAAGAGCATGGTCCTTCCCACGTCGAACTGAGCCATTCGTACCACAACCATAATATAGCTGCAGCGTGGCACGTATGTACATGTTACAAATTCATTCATTATCATCATTTTCATTACAACAAACTATCAAAAGTCCATTACTTAACATCGACTTCACCAATAGATCGCCTCATTGGAGGGATATTTGCTACAGCTGCCACGTTTGAAAGGCGTAATTACACTAGCAGTTTAATTTTTTTTGTCGCTTCTTACGACAGCTACGGGATTTTATCGGGTAGAAGATTCTCTTGCGTCATCACCATACAAGCCATCTAAACCACACACCAATCATTCAATCTACAAACTTTCAAAGCTCACACACACTAACCAACCAACCTACACATCAACCATTCAACCCACACACCAAGCCCCGTAGAGTCTGGCTACCTCCTCAGACAGAGCTCGCCTTCGTCTCCTTCGGGCTCTAGTGTACTGGCACCGACACCGCGAGCAGGCCTCTTCAGCTGAAAACAAAACTGCAAAACCCGAGCATACCCCTAACCCACGCGCACTAGCTCCACAGTCGCAATTTTGTGGACTGTCGTGACTGCTGGGCACCGCACCCAGCATATCTCCATGCTTTTGGGATATTTCGGCGGATTTTCCCGATTTTTATGTCATCTACCGAACAATCTTTGCCTCAGCCGTCTTTTTTTTTATTAACTGGCTTTACGGCTCTGGTTTCTAGACCTTCTGAGCCTATCCTTTCTTTTGGAATCTTCATTTTATGTTCCTTCACATTGCGAAGCCCTTGGGAGATTTTGACGACAGCTCAACCCAGCGGACAGTTGATGACGACAGCCACTCAAGTCCATGAGGCACCCAAGCGATCAAAATAACTTGAGGTTTATATCGACATCAAAGCATTTGTTTTGTCATTTTCTCTAATAGTTCACACGCGCGGACACTTAATTCACAAAATCGCATCACTTTTACGAATCAAAATCCACTTCAAACCATTATTCAAGCGACAAAACTGGAGCGACAATCTGTCCACGGCCAAGTTCCCGCCAAAACTCCGCCTCAGCCATCGCCGCAGAAATGTCCAAAATACTAACGTCGTCGTTAAGGTCCCTCAGTCGTACGTCGCTCGTTTTAACTGGCCGATTGATTCGCACGTTCAGGTCTGAAAGAACCTCATTTTGGCCGCCAGCTTGTCCGCCTTCACGCCGCAATCTGTACCTTTAATTTCCAGAAGGAATCCTGTGGTTATCTCCCGCTTCTGGCGGGTCGATGACAAAATCGGCCTTCCTTTATACGGGGATTTTGTTATATAGGCCTTTGCCTCCTCCATTACTTTGTCATGGGTAACAGAGGAGCTTTCTGACACCGTAAATATTACCACCGCAGATGTTGGGGCACGCAATACTTTGTTTTTCAGCCTCAATTTTGGAGTATTCGGTGGCCCTTGATCATTTGAGCTTTTTAACTACTTTTACCTGGTTATTCGATACTGTCGCAGCAACAGGGGGAAGGTCGACCAACGGTGGAAAGGCAGGCTACTTTTTCCTCTTCCGGCACAAACTTTGCCGTTTCGTTTTTGTGGCTGCGACGATTGAGCCGATTGTAAAGGTGGTGATGGCCGTTGAGGTAGCGATAGCAGCGGTTGCGGCCAATGTGTCAGCGGCTGGTTCGCACCTGCCAGTGGAGGTCAGATCACCCTATCGGGAAATATCTTGGCCACAAATATAGCCAGTTTTTCTTCAACAAGGGACTCGCTTTTCTTCGATTAGGGATTCACGCCGTGAATTCACGGCACAAGTCGTGCCCTCCACATTCACCGGATGCGTACAATCGTTCGTGAAACCCGCCGCGAAACGGACGTAGAAGCTGCTGCCGCAATAACTTTATTTATTTATTATATATTGTATACGTGGTAGAGCCATGCTGCAGTTATATTAGTAGTATAGTTGTAGCACGAATGGGGTCGGCTCGACCGGGGAAGGTGCACGCTCTCACAGAATAACAGCGTGAAATAGTAGCTTAAAGTGGCTCAAGTCGCGGGCTCGAAATCATTGGTGGGCGCGGCCAAAAAGCACGTTGTCTCACCTGGCATCGTGCCCGACAGAGATAGTACCAGTGAAGAGCAGTTAGAACGCACGTCTTGTTCGTACGGCGTTCCGAACCGTTAGAACAAAAACGAAGTTACACGAACACGATGCACACATACATACCACCCTATTCTGTGCCGCTCGACGCTTGCTAAGAAATCAGCAGTACCTACCTACAAACTCGTACTAAATTATTAGGCACTGCGCTACGTTATCGCTTTATACTATACCTCTATGGCTCTATAGATACCTAATATAGATTGCTTATTTTATTATGTTTTGTTTTCCCCGGGTGGTCATGCAGCGATCACTCAAGAGTTCACGACGCCGAAGCATGAACTGGAACAGTCATCGCAATTTATATCCGTACTAGCTGTTGCCAGCGGCTTCAAACGCGTGAACTCGAAAATTATCCCACAGGAACGAAATACCTGAATAAACGGTATCAAAAAATGTGTTATTCCAGACCAGGTATAACCTATCTCTGAGCTAAATATCATCCAGATCCCTTCAGCTGTTCTGGCGTGATTGAGTAACATACATCTATCCATCCAAACTTTCGCATTTATAATATTTAGATATTAATTGTGATTAGTTCTGCCTACCTATAAATTGTTTTCAAAAATACTTACCTGTCTTCTTACTTTTTTTATATACACACAATATCACCAGATGTAAACACATGTTTTTATCAAGACAAGTGACCCTTCAAGACTGTTTCCTTAGTACCGACGTACTTAGGCAGGTAGTAGTAGGTAGGCAAAAACGATTACTACTGAAAAACTAAATAGGTACCTACCTAACATTCAAATAAAAATATTCTCAAAAAGCTCAACCAATTCAGAATTTAATTTTGTTAAAAGAAAATTGGTCAAATAAAAAATAAAGGATGAAAATAAAGCATATGGGAATATAAAAATAAATCGTATTTATTTGAATAAAACTATTATTTACGGATTTTATCGCGTTTAATTACTTTAATTTATTTTTATTATTATCCCGACGTTTCGGGTGCTTTACAGCGCCCATGGTCACGGGGGGACCCTGGGCGCTGTAAAGCACCCGAAACGTCGGGATAATAATAAAAATAAATTAAAGTAATTAAACGCGATAAAATCCGTAAATAATAGTTTTATTCAATGTGTAGTGTTCGCGTAAATTTAAGAAATCGTATTTATTTGTTATTTCGAGTTTTACAAGAAAAGCATAATATTTACTGGAGAGAATTATTTTATTATTATAATAGTACATGATATTCCCTTTAAAATGACACCAATATGAATAATATCTTATATCTATATCTACAAATAAATAAAATTTAAGTGTCTGTTTGTAATGTTAAAATAACAGCTTTTTATTAAATGCATATGAAAGTACTAGTAACAAAAACACATTTTTTAAAATTTCAAACACCACAATCTCTAATTTTTTACTCTGCTATCTTCAGCGCTGTACACGAACGGAACGATGTCGTTGAGAGCCGTGGTAGCTCACATGGTTAGCGCTCGTTATAGGTATCACAGTACGGGAGCAACCCGGGTTCGATCCCCACTGGCACCAATGAAATTGTTGCGTGCTGATTTAGCTATCAGTTGGAAAGTCTTGTTTTTCTGGGCCGTTTTGTTTTGTTACACCGACATCTCGCAAGTCACCTAGGGACATAGGAGGTTGTCGGTTGCTCATTTTTTATTTTTCTTTAAAATTTTCGTCGGTAAAATAACATATTTATAAAAGTAAAAAAAGTAAAGTTACAGCCTATATACGTCCCACTGCTGGGCACAGGCCTCCTCTAATTTCTGAGAGGGTTTTAAGGCAAGGAAATGTCCGCCACGCTGCCTCAATGCGTGTTGACGAACTTCACATTTCTTCGAAATATATATTTTTTAATTTCTCAGACATTAAAAAATATATATTTAATTGTGCTGATTTACCACGTGCTCGGCGGTGAAGGAAAACATATTGAGGAAACCTGCACGTCTGAGAATATAATTATAATCGAATGTAAATCAAATTGACATAGGTAAGTACAGATAAAATTAGCGGAACATTAATAAAATTTTGAGATCGTTTTTTTTTTTTCAAAATTTTATTTATATATTCCTCTATTTTTGTCTGTGCTTATATCAATTTGATTTAATCCAAAGTTCAAGCAGGGGTCAATGTAGCGTAGTAATTTAGAGCGCAGGTATAGCTATAATCATACGAACGTCACAGGCCGCAGCTGACAATGACGTCGAATAAAAAAAGCGCGCGTCACCGCGCATGCATGTGTGTGTAAGTGTCGTCCTCCCGCACCGCACCGGGGGAAAAATTATTCAGTGAGATGCACGATAATTCATATAAATACGCGCGCGTAAAAAAAATACGAATAGGCCTTTGGAAGGAGGGGTTTTATGAAAAAACCACTGCATGAATCAATTACCAATAAAATTTATTGAATTCTTCGATAATTGAGCTGTGTCGGTACCGACTTTGTTTTGGAAATTTTACACTGCTTTTATTACTAATTTACGCCCAAAGTTGTGTTAAAATTGGCAATAAAAACGAATCTTTGGTAGCTCGTAACTTTTTACTGACTTTTTATTTTACTATTCTGTTTCGGTACAGACAAAATTAATAATGAGACAAAACGATATCATGTTTAACTTTGGATGTACACTGTCAAACAGCGGAGTAAAACCCCTCCGAAATTTCTATGGAAATAATGTCGACTAGAGTCACCTTAAGCTACTACTACTACTTCGTACAGTGAGTGTAGAGAAACGTATATCCTTTTTACTGGAAACGAGGCATTCCAGCTAAGTCCTCACGGGTGACAACGCATCTGCATTTTTATTTGTAATCGAGGATAGATGTAGACGTCTATGGGCCGCAGCAACCACTTACCATCAGGTGGACTGTGTGCCCGTTTGTTACCCTGTCCTATAAAAAAAATTGCTGTGGCAACATACTCGTAGTATATTTAGACGTCCAAAACAAGAAATTTATTAGAAAGCATTGAGAAAAAAAGAAGATGGTGTATGACTAAATTAAATCGTCCGTATTCCTTTGTAGTCCAAAACGAACTGGCACGGTGCCGTGAATGTGGATGTGTACGCGTGAACGCCGCGCGAAGGGTGCGTGAACGCTTCGTCGCGGGTCAAAATACCGACTCTGATCGGGGAACAGGCGCGAACGCGCGTGAATCCCGCGAAACCATCCACATTCACGTTCACGCCTGTTCACGGAGGTTCACGGCAATAGTGTAGAGCGGCGGTTAAGTTTTTCCGTTTAAGCCGCAAGGCTGGCCAGCTGTGATCGCAATTCCTCGTTCTCCTTTTCAAGCCTTTTGATGTTTTCGCTTGTCGTGTTTCTTCGCACAAGTTTTTGGGCTGCCACATCAGTCGTTCAACCCACACAACAAACATTCAACCCACACACCAACCATCCAACTTATATACAAGCCATCCAAACCACACATCAATCATTCCACCCACACACCAATCATCCAACCCACATACCAACCATCCTACTTACACCTTGCCATCCAAACCACACATCGATCGTTCAACCCACATACCAACACTCCAAACCACATACCACGATGATTAAAAATGGTTCCCGAGTGGCAGCCTCGTACTGGCAGGCGAAGTGTAGGGAGTCCCATCTACTAGATAAGTGACGACCTGGTAAGACATGTAGGAAGTCGATCTATGCAGGTGGCTCAGGACTGTGCTTTGTGGCATACCTTGGGGGAGGTCTATGTTCCGCAGTGGACTTGTGAAGGGCTGTAATGATGATGATCAGGAAGTTTCTACTGCCCATGTCCTGTTTCAGTTTTGCCCTGCCACCTCTTACGCCATTACGGGATAATATGGATTAAACATATTCTTACACCACCACTGCTAAGCGTGCAGTACACGTGCAATACACTATTGGATTGTTGAACAAATTAAGTAACTCACGTCAAGCGTCGCCTCCTCGATGTCCTCCTGCAAATATTTGGTTCCATACCATGGTTCAGTTTGCGTGCACTTGTCACCGAAACGCCTGTAGGATGAATTTTTGTTAATTACGTTGTAGAGCCACGCTGCAGCTATATTTGGGTTCTAGCACGAATGGGTCGGCTCGAAGGACCATGTCCTCACACAATACCATCGTGAAATATCAGCTTAGTGCTGCTGTGTTCTGTACGTTGAGTATAGAGAACCGTAAACCCTACATTTTGATTTTTAATGGAGGATAGATGTAGAATTTTTTTATAGGATTGGGTGACAAACGAGCGCACAGTCCACCTGATGGTAAGTGGTTGCTGTGGCTCATAGACATCTACATATATCCTCGATTAAGAATCAAAATGCAGTGGCGTACAAAGTATCTACGTTTTGATTCTTAATCCAGGATAAATGTAGATATCTATAGGCCACAGCATCCACTTACCAACCATATGAACTGTGTGCTCGTTTGTCACTCTTAATCTAAAAAAGAAGCAAAACAAATCCATCCTTCTTCTCCAGGACTTACTTGGCAACAATCCCAATCCTGACGTTGTCCGGCGTGAGCTGATCCAGCAGTTCCTCGATGAGCTCTGGCCTCCACTCTGTCATCAGATAGTATGCACTCAGCACATCCTCCATTGGAAACTCCTGCATAGGAATTAATGACAAGTTAAAACTAAATACACAGTTATTCCAACTAGACTTGTAGGACTACAAATAATTAATTTTATATTTTAAAGCCTGTGATATAATAGAACGAGAGCCCAAGAGAGGTATTTTTTGGATTTACTCAAGCATATCAGATTAAGGTGAGTTAATTACGAGCTAAAAAGAGTGCATTTAGAAAATCTGACGATTTGAGCGTAACGTATGGGAGTAGAAGAGTTACAAAGTTGCAAATAAAAAAAACGTTGTCTTGACATTCCCGTGCTCGGGATATTTTTTATTTTCAAGGAAATAATGCAAAAATTACAAAAAAAAACATAATCTGCCGATTTCCACACGCCGAAATACTAAAAATCGTCTACGAAGATGACAGAGCGTGCAGCTGGAGTAAAGCATGTATGCCCCACTCCGCGCCTCTCTCCCTTTCATTTTTTCTCTATCTCTGACTCTCTCGTGCCATCCCCACCTATTCACAGCCAAAATTTTATCGTTATTGAGAAAGAAAATCATAAAAAATATTTCTAGCAGTCAGATTATTAATATGCCTCAAAATAATAGTCAGATTTAAGATACCATATCTGGGCCCTCAAGCTGAACCTTCTGTATAATAATCTGACACGTTCGAGTATTTCAATATGACGATTGTTTTTCGCATTTTCAAAAATCCGTTACGAGCGTACGTCACTTCCGAATCGTCAGTCTTTCGAATGGGAGCATTTTTAAGATTCACTTAACATCCCCTTTGAATATCTGACGCGCTAGGGTTAATTTTTGAACATCCGTAGTAACTTGCAGCAGCACGGGAAGGGGAAATATTATATAACTTTTTACCGACTTCAAAAAGGAGGAGGTATTCAATTCGACTGTATGTTTTTTTGTATGTATTACCTCATAACTTTTCTCTGGGTGAACCGATTTTGATGATTCTTTTTTTATCTGAAAGTTGGTGCTTATCGTGTGGTCTCATATAAATTTAATCAAGATCTGACCAGTAGTTTTTGAGTTATCTTTAATAACGCGTATTTATTTGACTTCGAATACATGGATGATGTTCTGATTTTAATTTATATTAAAGTTGGTTGTACAAACTTTTTGATTTTACTTGTGTTTCCTTTCTATTAACTATGTACTACAGGAATGCTGCAGTTATATAAGTAGTGTAGTTGTAGCACGAATGGGTCGGCTTGACCGGGGAAGGACCACGCTCTCACAGAATACCAGCGTAAAATAGTAGCTTAACGTTGTTGTGTTTCGTATGATTAGTGTAGACCCTTTTTACTGGAAACGAGGCATACCATCTTAGTCCTCACGGGAGACAACGCTACTGCATTTTGATTCGTAATCGAGGATAGATGTAGATGTCTATGGGCCACAGCAACCACTTACCATCAGGTGGACTGTGTGCTCGTTTGTCACCCAATACTATTAAAAAAAATCTATAAAATCTAATAGTTCCTACGACGCTCGAGTAAATCCCCATTTAACATCATGGGCTTCCCTACAATAATTCTATACTCTGCACCAATTTAACAATGTGAATTTATTTTATTCTTTTGCAGTGGCATTTGTCTCTCTCCTACCAGAAGTGTAATAAATACATTTATTCCTGGGTTTAGTGAGCAGTAATAAAGAGATATAGTAAGTAGTCAGCCGTTTCTATTGGCACGGTCATAGTTCTTTGATGTAGGGATGCATACGATACAGATGGCGATATATCGTCGATACTAGAAGTTTGCCGATATATCGGCATCGGCGATATTTTTATGGCCGATTCAACGATACTTTTCAAATTGCGCGTTTCAAAAATGTAATGTAAACGCGCGTATTATCTTGTCTATTTCGTTGCAAACGAAACTGTCTATAGTTTTAAACGGTTTCATTTAGTTTGTCCTGTAATTTATTATTTTTATATTATTATTTTTTTATACGTGGTAGAGCCATGCTGCAGTTATATTACTAGTATAGTTGTAGCACGAATGGGTCGGCTCGACCGGGGAAGGTGCACGCTCTCACAGAATACCAGCGTGAAATAGTAGCTTAATGCTGCTGTATTTCGTATGGTGAGTGTAGAGAACCGGAGACCCTTTTTACTGGAAACGAGGCATTCCATCTTAGTCCTCACGTGTGACAACGCATCTGCATTTTGATTCGTAATCGAGGATAGATGTAGATGTCTATGGGACACAGCAACCACTTACCATCAGGTGGACTGTGTGCTCGTTTGTCACCCTATCCTATAAAAAAAATTAAAAAATAACCTGACTTGTGTTTTATTTATTTTACCTTCATTTTTGAATTCAATAAGCGTATGAGTATCGGTATCGCCAATATTTTATAAGACTATCGGTATCGGTATCGTATCGGCAAAAAAGCGTAATCGAGGCATTCATACTCTGAAGTCAGCAATAAAAAGTAAAACTTTTTATTGAAAAGTTTTTTTAATAATAATCTTTATCTAAAGAATAACTAATCCCGACCTACGACCGAATAAATTATCCAATCAAAAACTCTAATACATTATGCTCTGGTTACTAATAAAGACCAACCAAAACTTTAAGGGTTTTTCCTTGTATGAAGGCGAAATACTAGAAAAAGAAAGTTGTTTACTCAATATAGTTTATAAATAATACTTATTGAAAGTCACTCTCAAGGTTAATTAACCACTGGTTCAGAAAACAGCAAGAAACAGAGCGTGACATTTTTAAAAACGAACAGTTTACAATCATTGAAGTTATACAACAATTAACAACACAAGACAAATTAGAAATAGCTTGGTAGCGATCACCCTTCCCAGGGGTTATCATCCATAAATTCCTTGATATTATAATAACCCTTTTCTTACAATCTTTGTTGAATAAAAGTTTTGATCTTGACGGAGGACAAATTTTGTATATTTTCTGATATTTTGTTGTAAAAGCGTATACATCACTCCGAGAGTAAATCATCATCATACTAAAGAGCAGCCAACATCACCTGCAGTAAGTGCACGTGTCCCACAACAAAACCCCGCGGCTCCTGGACGTCCTTGAACCTGAACTCTGTGGCCATCAGCTCGCGCTGCTCGTCCCACACCCAGCGCTGGGCTCCCTCTGCCCGCAGCATGGAGATGTACTGTAAAAAAAATTTGAGACTATAATCTTATGCCGTGCGAATGCCAATGGGTGTCGTAAGAGGCGACTATGAATAGATTAGCTTAGAATAGCATGGAATAAATAGAATATAATGGAATAGAATAGAATGGAATATAATATTTTTTTTTTCAATTAGATTACAAATAATTTTTTAGAATGCCCCCTGCAAACGAGCATGCGGCTCACCTGATGTTAAGTGACTACCGCCGCACAAGATCAACCGCAACACCAGGGGAATTACAGTTGCGTTGCCGCTCTTTTAGAAAAGAGTAGGCACGGTTCTTAAAAGTCTCTAATTCGTATCGGTCCGGAAAAATCGCCAGTGGTAAACAACAGAGGTCGTACAAGGAAGAAAACTCTTAGTAAAACGCAACGTGGTGGACCACAAAGCATCCAAGTGGTGTGGATGGTATCGTGAGTTTTATCGCGATGTGCATTAATGCGTTTGTGAAATTTGGAAGCTGGAACTAATCCGAAGCAATTCTTATTGAATCATTTTTTTATTTTTACCACTGTTTCAGAAAAAAAAACTACTGTCCTGAGAACAATCAGCAAGAAATCCAGGACCCATCCCATATGGGGTATGCCAGGACGATTTATTGATAACAATCTCCAATCTAAATGAATGAGAAACAGCTTCAAATGCTGTAATGAATCATCATCATCATCATCATTACAGCTCTTCACAAGTCCACTGCTGAAGATAGGCCTCCTTCAAGGAATGCCACAAAACACGGTCTTGAGTCACCTGCATCCATCGACTTTCTGCATACTTTACCAGATCGTCACTCCATCTAGTGAGTGTCGTCACTTCACCCACCGGTACGAGGCTGCCACTAGAGAACCTTTCTTTACCATCGGTTGTCGGTTCTTGGAACTATATGGCCGGCCCATTGCCTTCATGAATTCAACTGTAATAAATAAATGAATAAATATACCTGAAAGACCAAATTGACTATATCATCCACGTGCTCCAATCCATCCTCGGTCAGATCCACCTGCACACCGAAGAAGCCAAATCCACGGGCACCTATCCTTGTCCCACCCACTAGGCTATGGGAAGAAAAAGATTTAAATTTATTCTTATAAATTCTTTCTTTTACCTATTTAAGTTACTGCTGAAGGCGTGATAGAACAACGCAATAGCGAAAATTATCTGGCTCGAAGGACCATGATCGCACAAAATATTAGTTACTTGTGTAAAATAGAACATGATGCTGCAGTGATTCGTATGTGACAAGTAACGAATTTTTTTTAATACTAATAAAAAGTCTTATTCGTCAAGAGTGAAAACGCACATATTTCTTTTTATTTAAGGATTTACATACAACTTAATACGAGTAATACATACGAGTAAGTGAACATTGAATTAATACGTAAAGTCAAATTTGTTTCCACTTTTTTTTATAGAATAAGAGTGACAAACGAGCACACAGACCAGCTAATAGTTAGTAAATGCTGAGGTCCATAGACGTCTACATCCATCTTCGATTAAGAATTAAAATGGGAATGCGTTGATACTTCTGAGGACTAAGATGGAATGATTCGTTTCCAGTTCTCCGGTTCTCTACACTCACCATACGTAACACAGCAATTGAGCTGCTATTTCACGCTGGTATTCTGTGAGAGCGTGGTCCTTTCCCGGTCGAGCCGACCCATTCATGCTACAACCATAATATAACTGCATCATGGCTTTACCACGTTGTAAAACATTTTTAATAAAATAACATTGAATAGACACAGATTGTTCTATTAAAGCCTTGCACAATAATTAAACCGTGAACAATTACTGTTTAGACAAATGCGATATTAAAACGTAAGTACACATTATTTGCTTTAGTACTGTTAAACTTTCTCTCATGAAATATTGACTCTTAAGGGGAAATATAACCTCAAATGGCTTAGCAAGATCCTCCGTTATGCCGAAAGTATTGCAGCATTAATTTTGAAATAAATATATGGTAAAGTTGAGGATTAATGTTAAGGTTTATGTTAGACGAAAACACGATTCCGTAAAATTTTCTCGATAGAAAAAAAATCCAAAGTTACCTCCAAACTGAACAATAAACCGCTGTTATTCATAAAATACTTTAAATAAGATCATGAAACTTTGCATACTAACTGAACTAACTATAAAGCAGTGCTTATGTTATTTACTTTTTTAAAATACCATTATTTTCACTGTAAAAAGAAATTACCTAAACTATCGGCGTCTTGAGCTTGATTCCTGTCGCACCGTTAGTATTGCTCCGGCTTTTGAAGGGAGAAGTTGTGTCGCTTACGATCGGAAAACACATTACGCAACAGGAAGACGTAAAATTAAAATGGGAAATAACCGTTATAAAAATAAGAAGCGACTGGGTTGGCGTTAAGAAACAGGCATATATATGATAAACATAATGAAATAAGTATCTAACGACCTATCTACTTAGAGTATTAGTGATTACAAACATGTCGGTACATAGCATACGACGCGCGGGGAAGTGGGGGCGAAATTAGAATTTGAGCTGACTTACTCTCACCTCTTAATTGATAATAGATGTAGGTATGTACGGGCTACATCATCCACTTGCCATCAGGTGAGAGGTCTCCGTTTTTCGTCACTCAGCAAACGAACAACAGTAGCATTAAGCTGATGATACCTCACGCTGATATTATGTGAGAGCGTAGTTCTTCCCCGGTCGAGGCGACCTTTTCGTGCTACAACCATAATATAGCTGCAGCATGGCTCTTCCACGTAAGAAGGTATCATTTTTAGTCACTCAGCACAGTGCTGCTATTTACGTTGGTATTCTATGAAATTATGGTCTTTCGAGCCGGATCACTCGTGTAGCAGCGATAACACAGATTTAGCGTGACTCTTATTAGTCGAAAGTTGTTGTTAAGTATGACATGAGTATATGATCACCTGTTGCACCAGCCCCGTCGTTTGAGCTCCGCCAGCAAACTCCCGGCGCCTTCGTGACCCAGCAGGTGCGATACATAGTGCCCCGGCTGAACAACCCAACAGATTTGTTTATCTATAAGTACTATTTATCTACAAAATAGTTATTCATGTGTTCATCATAATTATCACCATCCTTAGTTTTTCACAAGTCTACAGCTGAACATAGGTCTCAAGGAATGCCACAAAGCACGGTCCTGAACCACCTGCATCCATCGACTTCCTGCATGTCTTATGAGCTCATCATTCATGTCCTAATAGCATGCAATTTAACCACCCCCCCTTAGCCAGTTTTTTAAATAGTAAAGACTTACACTTCAATTTTATTTATAGATTAGCTGTTTTCCGCAACTTCGTCCGCGTGGAATTTATTACGAATTGATTTCATTGGTTTTAATTTTCTTGAACCGTAATTTTTTTAAACCGTAACTTTTTTTCTAAAATAATGTAGCCAAGTTACTCCTTATAAAATCAGTCATCTGTCAGTGAAAATCCCATCCGAAAGCGGTCTGGCTATTTCGGAGATTAGGCGGAACAAGTACACAGACAAACAGTCAAAAAAATTTAAAATTATTTTTTGTCATAAGTACCGTATATACTTTCATAATATTCGTTTAATAAAAAGCTGTTATTATGATATTACAAAAAGACACTTCTTATATAGAATAGATATAGAATAAATGTGATAGATATATTAATTAAACTTAGTTTATTCGACATTTAAAGCTAGTTAGAACAATGTAATATTAAGACAATCTTAATTTAATAGTTATTAAAATAATAATAACATAAACATAAACACTCACGCCTGTCACCCAGAGGGGTAGGCAGTGACTACAGACTTCCATTTGGCATGATCCTGACACACCTCTCTCGCCTCCTTCACATCCATATACCTACGCATACATGCTCGTCGGTTAAGGGCACTCCTAATTTGGCCCGTTTTCAATAAATCGCCAATTTGGTCGATAAATTTTCGCCTACGACGTCCCTTTCCGACTCTGCCATTCACTTCTGCAACATAAATTTTCTTTGTCATTCTTTCCTCATTCATTCTTTCCACATGACCAAACCACCGAAGCATTACTTTCTTAATCTTGGTCACAACATCATCTTGCAAACCACACTCTTCTCTTTTATCACACAATTTCTCACCCTGGCATTCAGATTCAGCCCTAAAATACTCCTTAACGACCGCATTTCTACTGCGTTTATTCTACTCTCGTGCTTCTTCTGCCACACCCAACTTTCACTACCATACGTTAAAGTAGGGACCAACACAGCATTGTGAATTGCTATACGTGCTTTTTTCGACACATTTTGTGTCGAAAAAGGCACTATGGCAATTCTTCACAATAGAGTGTAGGGCCCCATTTACTCTATTGCCTGCATTCACTCGTCGTTCTATTAAAAAAGTTAATAAAATGTGTTAGGATTATGAGTTGCGAGCAGTGTGTGACATATTAGACTAAAAGACGTCACACACTGCTAAATTTCTAATAGAATAGATAGATCTTTCGAAGGTGCTGAGGCCAGATACAGCATCCGTCGCTTCTGATAATATGTTCTCATCTTAACACTTACCCCACTCTTGTAGTACTTGCGGGTGTCCGGAATTGGGAAGTCGATGGAGAGCGATCTCAGATCCTTGACGGGCAGGCAGTAAGCTCGTTTGCGACACAAAGCCGGCGGGAACGGATGCTGCGGCCAAGACGGTGCAGTGACCTGGCGATCCTGGACCTCGGCGAACAGGGGCACCACTACACCCTCCAGCTCGTCCAAAGACTCTGCAGGTGATGTTTACAGACTCTAATGTAGACAAGTGTGGTGTTAGGCTTCGGTAAAAATATCGAAATATCAATATATTCTGACAAAATTATCCATATTTATCGTCGATATTTTTAATAGCAATATAATAAATATTCGATATTTACTTTAGAGTATCGTTTATATTTTAATTTAATAGAAAAAACATTGTGGCGTAGTAGCTCAGATGGTTAACGCTTGCTGTAAATTTCACAGTACGCGAGCAAACCGGTTTCGATCCCCGCCGGCACCAACGAAATTGTTAATTGCAATTTTAAGTGCTGATTTACCACGTGCTCGGCGGTGAAGAACATCGTGAGGAAACCTGCATGTCAGAGAAATAAGAAAAAAAATATTTCAAAGACATGTGAAGTTCGCCAACAAGCATTGGGGCAGCGCGGCGGACAATTCCTTGCCCTAAAACCCTCTCAGAAATGAGCGGAGGCCTGGCCCAGCAGTGGGACGTATATAAGCTGTAACTTTACAAAACATTAAGCAACAACTACAAAATCATTCATATGCTGTATTTTTTTCGTGGCGTTAAAATTTTGGCTGCAAAACATGACGATATATCAATATTTCATACGCGATAATTATCGATACTACTTGATACTGTTATATTTTTTATATCCAATTTTTTCCAGACGGTAAAAAAGATCACCAGTATAGTGAGGGTAAATATAATGTATATACACAAAACAATGCCTCAATGCCGTATGCTTTAATTTTTTAAAACATTTTTAACTTCTTTAAATTTTTCTACTTTAAGAATATCTTTAGTTTGGTTGTATTTCTAATGAATTTAATATAAAATATAACGTCTTTGTAAATTGTTTTTTAAACTTCCAAGCGTGTCTCTATATTACTTTTTATCACATTAAATGCGTCTATTATACACTGCTTTAAATCACTAACACTTTATGCTTTTCCTGTCTTCTAATCTTCTGTGTCTAATCGTTTTAATTCAGTCCACAAATAAAAGTCTAGAGGTGTGAGGTCAGATGATCTCACCGGCCAGTGCACAGGTAAACCGCGACATATCCACCTACCACCGAATTGGCTTAGTTAGATACTCGACATTAGAGTGTTGGTACATGTTTACGATACACACGCGGAAACATCGACGACGACGACGACGGCCATGCGACGTCACGCCACAACTAATCACTTTTTATTTACAATGCATGGATTTTGGTTAAATGAGTGTAAGCTAGAGTATACCTTTGCCGATGACCACCAACGTCATGATGTTGGCAGAATACCACTGCTCGTGGAAGTTCAGCAGTTCTTTTCGAACATCGATGCCCTTCTGTTTCGGTATCGTCTCCAGGGTTTCTCTGTTACCTGTAGAGGTGAAGAATTGGTTAAAGAACAATGAGTTACGCAGACGATATGGTGTTGTTGAGTGCATCTGTTTGCGGCCTACGAAGACTGGTGAAGATTTGTGAAGCTTACGCCCTCACTCATGGTTTGGGTTATAATGTAAAAAAGAGCCATGTCATGATCTTTGAGAGCGGGAGTAAACGACATGACATAGTACCACTTAGTTCAATTAATGGTAATTTTTTTATAGAATACGGGTGACAAAGGAGCACACAGTCCACCTGATGGTAAGTGGATACTGTGTCCTATAGATATCTAGATCTATTCTCAATTAAGAATCAAAAAGCAGATGCGTTGTCACCCCTGAGGTCTAAGATGGAATGCCTCGTTTCCAGTAAAAAATGGTCTCCGGATCTCTACACTCACCATACGAAACACAGCAGTATTAAGCTGCTATTTTACGCTAATATTCTGTGAGAGCGTGGCCCTTCCTCGGTCGAGCCGACACATTCGTGCTACAACCATAATATAGCTGCAGCATGGCTCTACCACGTATAAACTTAAAATATTACAAAGAGCGTTTAAGGTTGAATATCTTGACCATGGTCTGACTCATCTGCTCTAGTAATTATGCAATATGTTTTTGAAGTTATGTTGCCATTATTAACGTTACAGCCTATTTAAAGTCCAGTCCTGATAGGCTTCCCTTATAGATTACTCGATATATATTTACCATAGTTGCCATGCTTGGCAAGCGGGTTGGCAACCGCAGTTTTTTATTTTAAGATGTTATTACGACGACGCCGCTACTCATCTCTAGGTTTCTTTCCCTCTACTGCCCCTTACGACTACCACCGCATGATATAGGGTAGTGGACAGTCTTACACCGCCACTACACGGTCAATACACACAATTAAGTACACAATTAACTACATAAAACAAATTAGCTTGTTAGTGATTACATCATTCCCAGGGGATATTACCATATATAAATTATTAATGTATGGTCCTTCGAGCCAATTCCTACAAACTTTTTCTTTAATCTTAACTTTAATCGGGGTAGAGCCACGCTACAGCTACATTATGGCTGTAGCACGACTGGGTCGAATCGACCGGTGTAGGACCACGCTCTCACAGAATACCAGCGTAAAATAATAGCTTAATACTGCTGTGTTTCGTATGGTGAGTGTAGAGAACCGGAGGCCCTTTTTACTGGAAACGAGGCATTCTATCTTAGTCCTCACGGGTAACAACGCATCTGCATTTTGATTCGTGATCGAGGATTGATGTAGATATCTATGGGCAGCAGCAACTTCTTACCATCAGGTGGACTGTGTGCTCGTTTGTCACTGTTATCCCATAAAAAAAACTTTTTAGCTATATTAGCTTAGCTAAACTGGACATCATTGACTCTATAGTATTTATATGAGTATTCTCCTAGTCCACAGATTCCTTACAAGGGCGATACAGTTCCCCCAATGGGTGCTGGAGTCGTTGATAAGCGGGGAAGCGGATTCAGAGGAAAATGCAGGTGTTGAGGCAGTCATGAGCGGCGGTCATGGGCCTGTAAGGTATCTTACCAGAAAAATAAGGTTTTAAAACTTGTATCACGTGTTCATAAAACATTTTCAAGTTAGCATTAGGTATATTCTAATTTGATTTAATTTAGCATATAATATATAGAAGTCGTATGATTCGTTTTTAAAATTATTAAAACTATTTACTATACCACGAAATCTACGTACCTGTGCCAAACTTATGGTAAGGGTGCGATGGAGATGCTGTGCTCTTGTTGAGCTGATCCAATCTCCAGGTGTCCGATGAGGTGTTCTTCTCGTGCTCAGAGTTGACTGCACTCAGTTCCCTGCCCGTGGCCGACTCCGTGAAGAGCGGCGAGATGAAGAACTGGGCGAAGCTAGGGATTCAGAAAGTTATTGTTGTTGTTACGTTTTGCCATTTAATGCAGGCAAAGGTCTTATACCATACAGCCTTGTCAGTTTTGTATTTTGTTCATAAAATTCTCCACAATATACATGCATATGAAGTTATTGGCAGATATTGACATCAGATATTATACAAATATAGATGACAATAATATCTCAGGGACATTAAACGAATAAAAAACATGAGATTTCTAAAAAAAATCACCATCAGAACACTCATCTCTCTCATAAAAAAAATTACATTGTTCCCACTAATAGTTTACGTGCGAAGACATTCAATACACAAAATCGTACCACTTATTATCCACCAGCGGTTAAGTTCCCGCCAAAACCTCCTCCGCATATCATCTGTTTCTATATTGTAATTATTATTATAAGAAAGCTTTTATCGTCATCTACAAACAACGCTTAGAAATTAACTTCTCGTAAAATTAACGAGATAATAAAAAGCTAAGTTTTAATTGAAGATAGATGTAAACGTATATGGACTAGAGCAAACACTTACCATCAGGTGGACTGTGTACTTATTGTAATATAATAAATATGTAAAATTACACCAATATACGTTATTATTATGTCGTCACAAAGACATTAAAAAGCCGCCAGGAGTAAAAGGACGCAGCGGCTTTAAAGACTATATCTTCAGACTTTTGACGCGTTACGAACACATTATTCACACACTATTCTACTACACTACACACAGTATTCATTTATTACCTTTATCCTTAAAAAATCTGTCAATCTCTTGACGTGTTCATGTATTACAATAAGAGACAGCAAAAGAAAAAGAAGCTACTTACATATCCAAAGCCTTGCCAAGGTGAGAAGGCAAGACATCGAAGTAGTATGTGGTGTGATCAGAAGACGTGGACGCGTTTGATGACCCTCCATGCTCCGACAGGAACTTGTTGTATTCATTCTCCTGGGGAAGATTTTTTGAGTGAAAACTGCTTTAGAATCGTTGAGATTTGTAACTCCACGAAACGCACCGAAGCCCAAATCGCGCTATCAAAGTTCCCAAGTACTGTGGTGTATATAGCTCCATACAATCACACAGAGTGTTGGCCGCTTCCCAGGCTGAATACCCTGCCCGGCGGGAAATCTCCCCTTTTCCTTCCACAGCCAAACATTCATTAACAATTTTGAAAACATAATAATTAATAAAAAAAGAACAGCAAATAATTTACTAAATTAACGAATTTTAATTTTATCACTCCGTGTCCAAGTTTTGCCTCCCAGTATTCACTTAAATAATACGTCAGATTTAGAGTTATTCCATTCCTAAATTTAATAAACGTTATTAGAGACGGTGAAAAAATATAAGACATTATATTAAAGTAAAACAGTTGTAAATGAAATAAATAAACAAATGTACTGTATGTATTGTATTTTTTACACTTTGTTTAAAGCCCTAGGTAATCACGGAAATTCGTCCGTGACGTAGGCAGGGAAAAGATGCAAAGCGATACGGACACTAGCGCGCAGCGATAAAGTTTAATTTAGCTTGCGTGCGGGATTACTCTAATTTAGGGGTCTAATAATTATGTAGACTATTAAAACTTCGGCAAGCAGTCAATATCTAAGAAGTGCAACTTCTGTACTTAGTACTAAAGTTGATGTACCATGGAAGGCCACTCTAACAAATAAACAGTTATTATTCGTTAATTTACTGGATAAATAAAACGAACAAATATTTAAGTAATACTTTGTTTTATTACGTAACATATAAACCACTTTTTTAAATTGCAGATTTAATCAATATTGGTTGGACTTAAGTTTCATTGAACTCTTTCAAATGGCCTTGCTAGGAACAAGGTTTCTTAGAAGGCCATTATAATAAATCAGTCATTTATCACTAAAGTTTAATAAATAGCAATTAAATCTACAATAAAAAGAGGTGGTTTATATGTTACGTAATAATACAAAGTATTGCTTAAATATTTGTTAGTTTCATTTATCCAGTAAATAAACGAATCCCACCTTATTTTAACGTCGTCGATTCCCGAAATCAATGAAGCGAGGGACCGTACTGCCAAAATAGTAGCGCGAGCGATTCGCCGCCGCGTCTCTAGATTTTCAGTTCGATGGGTGTTTGTGTAAGTAGAAGGAATTTATCATCATATGACAATACGACATTTTAATAATTGGCCGTCCGAAAGAGCATGGCCTTCCATGATCCTATTATTTATTGTGTCTATAGCCTAAGCCCAAAGCCTACCTCTGGATATTTCTTCGTGCCCAAAAACAGCATGTGTTCACAAAAGTGCGCCAACCCTGGCAACTCTTCTGGGTCGCTGAGATATCCTGGAAATAAGAAAAGGTTGATCGTAATCCAGACCTTTATCTTTGTCGGAGTAGCTCCAATAAGCACAGGGGTACGAAAATCCTCAGGTTGTTTTTACGTTGAAATTAACGCTATCTTACAGCCGTTAGAAGCACTACTTTACCAACTATTTTTACACATTTTATGTAAAAGATCACGCCACTACCGGTGTATGATTTGTTTCAATCAATAAATACCGAAGTCAAAATCACGCTATCAAGTTTCGAAGTACTGCGGTTTAAACGGGGGTCAATATTGCAAAGAAGGTTCAGAATGAGCAATATAGGCAAATGGTGAAGAAAAATTAATTTATAAAATCTCAAATATTCTGTCCTTTTTATCTTTTAAATTCAAAATGCGTGGTAATGCATTATTTTAACTAGAGTTGGGTCGTACTTGCATAATCGAGTACCAGGGCTTCCAAGTACGTCCACCTTCAGATACTAGCGCCAAAAACCAGGGCTTGAGACACTTTCAAGTATTTCCTCCCTGCATCGAAAATTGATCCGTAAGTTCACATAAATAAGGAGTGCAATCGCATATGCTAAAATAATAAACTTTCATGCCTTGTTGGAAGAAAAATACTTGCATAGAACATTGATCCGTAACTGTATACAAATAAAGAGCACAATTGCGTTTACAAAAAAAAATACTTCCAAACCTTTAAAAGTTCCAACGTTCAAGCCTTGTTGGAAAAAATACTTGCAAAGAACATTGATCCGTAACTGCTTACAAATAAAGAGCACAATCGCGTTCACAAAAAAATACTTCCAATCCTTTAAAGTAAATATACCTTGATAGAGAACATTGATCCGTAACAGAATATATAATAAGGAGCAGAATTGCGTCGAGACGGGTCGGCTCGACCGGGGAAGGACCACGATCTCACAGAATATCAGCGTAAAATAGCAGCTTAATATTGCTGTGTTTCGTATAGTGAGTGTAGAACTCCGGAGACCCTTTTTTACTGGAAACGAGGCATTTCATCTTAGTCCTCAGGGGTGACGACGGATCTGCGTTTTGATTCTTAATCGAGGATAAATGTAGATACCATCAGATGGACTGTGTGCTCGTTTGTCACCCTTATTCTATAAAAAAACACGCTACAACCAACTATATTATTAATTGCAATTTTTAGCGGCGTAGAGGAATCTCAAGGTCACCTGAACAATGACAAGCACTGAGTTAGATCATCCTCCCTCAGTTGCATGCACTTTCTACACTAATCCCAACACCACTAAACTAGGAAAGACACAGCACCGTCGATAATACGACACGTGTTTTGCCTCTACATCTTACTTGCCACTCTTGGTAGGCGAGTTGTAAAGTAAAATGAAGTTACAACCTATATACGTCCCACTGCTGGGCACAGGCCTCCCCTCATCCCTGAGAGGGTATGCGAGTTGGCGCAACCGCAACTTTTCATTATTTGGTTATTATTGGAAGACTCTTCCGCCCAACTAGTTTGGCAAACAAACCAGGAGATTGGCAACATTAGTCGCCTCATACAACATTAACTTGATCAAATGAGGTAGTGGATATTCTTACAACAACACTACACAGTTTAATATACAAGGTGTAAATGTAAACACCGTTGTCACTAAAACCATAGGTAGTTGGCTTTAATATAAAAATATTTATCCGAATTAAAAATAAATAAACGCTATTTTCTTTCATAAAATTCAAAAAGTTTCTGTCCGATACCGTCCATAAATTCATGGATACCCTATGCGCCCGAGTGACGTAATCACTGTAAAGATCACCGCCCGCCCTAGCTACCTACACAACATTCCGATAAAAACACAATAGTTACACATAACCTGTGATGTAACTTTTCCTTCATACTTTTATCCTGGCTTAGGACATACAAAAATTGAGGAATTAAGGAAAAATTGAGATTTTACAAAAAAAATGTTGTTATTTTTCATTAAATTTACGTTTTATAAGTGAAACCAAACCACTGGTTTCAAGGATAACAGTGTTTACACTAACACCCTGTATATGTCGTGGCCACATCGTAAAATTGATCACTTCGTGAAATGTTAGAGTATTTCATGAAACAGTCGCATTTCATGAAATGTTTCATTGTCGGTTGACCACATCATGGAATGTATTGGCCAGATCAATGATAGGAAATCGTTCGTCGATATGCTAGATTAAATACAGGACTATTTCATGAAATGGCCAACCTTATTTTATCATATCGTGAAATAGTTACATTTTTTACCGCTAGAGGCGCTGGTTGCGCTTAGTTTTGTGTAAAAAAAGGCGGCAATTTGGTGTTTTATTGAGTGTAAGAGCTAGGGAAGCGAGCTCGGGACTTAGGGTCACCCCGAATCGGACAGGTTAGGTTAGAAGAGGATTCCCTTCGTGGTTATTTTTTTATAAACCACTCAGAGTAGGAGCCTCGCGAAGACCGCGTCGACCGGCCTTCCCTCGACTGCGCCACGTCACTTTTCATGAAATGATCAATTCTTCTACGATTTGGCTACGACATATATACAGTTAAAAAGACGTATGGCACTCGGGGACTGCCGCGGTAAAGCTATTACATAGCATTTTGTATCAACTTATGCAATTATAATTATTTATTTATTTTATTTATGCAGTATTTCTTTTTCTTTGATATTAATTCAAGTTACTTAGGTTAATCCAATCAAATTCAACCAGATTTAACCGAACCCGCGTTATAACGAACTCACTATTTGTGAAAAATGCTGTATCACCGGACCGCGTCGCAAAAAACTCAGGTTCGCGCAGTACATACGTCAGGGCGGCCGTACGGCAATTATATTAACAAGACGCGCAACTACTCAGTTCCACGCTCCACGGCAAGATTTGTCACTTATTATTTATTGTCCAATTAATTGTCTTTAAGTTCAAATGGCACGCTCTATTAACATAAGTCTAAGACAAAACAAGGAGACTTTCAATATATGAACAACCCGGCTTCGCGCAAAAACTCTCGCGACCCCTATAATGCGACCGGAGAACATCATCGGCGCAGGCGCCGCGTGCCTAGCTAGGAGTGCGCCCTAGCGGCGGGCCGGGTGCAGCCCGGCCCCGCCGTCTGTTCCCTAGCTCGGCTCGATGCCAACAGGGGTGACTAAAGATGGGCGAAACTGTTATATTTTTCTAATTCGTTATGTTGTTGTAATATATTTTTCTAACTGTTGTTTTAAACTGTTATAATATATTATAACAGTTTTAAATATTACATTGTACACGAGGTTAGTTCAGTTCAGTCGTCGGCTGTGTTCGCGTTTTGTTTAACGAACAAAAACAACAATAGCTTTTTCACGTAATATGGGGACCTGCTATCAAAACATTACGTATATAATTTAACAGATAACAGTGTCATTGTTATCTCAGCTAGACAGCTAACTGAACACTAAACTGATATATTATATATTACAACAGCCAAATTAAATAACAGGCACAACAGGCAACTAATGAAGGAAAAAATATATTTTTGTTTACCGTTATAATTTAGTGTTAGTAAAATAAGCTCTTATTAAGTTAGCTTAGAGTTTAAATTAGTGTAAGCTGTACGCAATCCTTGTGGCATAATAAATGTAGGTAGTATTTTATTGACTCCCATTGTCTCGGCCGACGCGACGGTTGGACCGTAAACGTAAACAGATGACGCTTTCTAACGATAATTAATATAATATTATAACATTATTCTAATGTGTTGTAAGATTAAAAATATATAATGAAATATATTATCTGTTGTATGTTATAACGCCCAACTTTAGGGGTGACCGACCGCGCGCACAAATGCAGCTAGCCTCCCCCCTCCCGCACCTCACTAATCGTCGCTTCACACCGCTGGAGATAAGACATCTACTATCAGGCGCTAACAAACCCCCGTCCCGGACATAAGGACCTATGTCCGCGAGTAAATTGGCAATTAGAAGACGCTTTGTATTGTTGGTTTTTACAAAAACGCTCAACTGGGCAAATGATATCTGGCCCTTTGCTTTGTGAAAAAGCATTACAGTTAAATAAAATATTAGGTGACGGCGGCTCGTTTGTCGCAAGTAACGGATGGTTATATAGATTTATATCTCTTCATGGAATTTAATCAATGTTTATTAAAAAATAATAATTTCTTAATAAACATTGATTTTCGTTGAAATTGTTGTTTTTAATAAACACATAACATTATGTATGTACATATGTACTACAAATGCACAAAACCCGCTTTTCTTCATACATTCGATCATCCGGATTTTCGATTATCCGAATCCCTAACGGCAACAATTAGTCCGGTTAATCGAGTATATATATATATACATATTGAGAATCTAAATTGAGAATTTAAACTATACGCGTGTGTTTGTGTGTATATAAAGAGGGCTACTTTTAATATCGCTCATTTTAATATCAAAAATTTAGGTTATCTTTATAGCAGTATTATATTTTCAATTCAAAATTAGTACTGCATTTGTGATAATAATAAAATGTAGGTATGTATATAGAGTACTCACTCATTTTCTTTCACTATTTTTTCGTGACTTTCTTCATTAATAATAAATGCACTTTGTTCATTCATATTCAAAATTTCAAAACACTTTATACACAAACACCGTGTCGAAGACTGAGGAAAAGAAACGACGTTAGACCATCGTTAGACAATGCACGGCCTTCAAGCCACACCTCCGTGCCCGTCGGAGAGCGTGAGGTTTTTTTCTTTACGAAATTTCTGGATTTTCCCGCACTCAAGGCCCGCGATAGAAGCTATGCAATAGCTTAAAAAGTATATATCTACCCAAAAATGAGCCGCCAGTTTTACGAAACCCGTACTTTGTACGTTAATCAAAATACAGACGCCTTGTAATCCCTGCATAACGAATATAGAATGCTTTGTTGCCAGTAAAGTCTCCAGGTCTTGTTACTCACCATACGAAACACAGTAGCATTATACCGTTGTTTTACATAGATATTCTGTGAGAGTGTGGCTTCTCTACTCCGAGTACTCACCAACGTTGACATCCATCGCAGCCGCTGATTTGTCAGTGTTCGGATCACTGACGAGTAGCACTTTGAGATTATTCGTAAGCTGCAGACCTCTGAAATGAAAATGATAATACTGGCAATCGCACTAAGCAATCTAATTTAATTTAATATGTATTACTTGTGAGATATATTATGTTTTTATGCGATGGCCAAGTCAATCTATATATTTAAAACATAAAACATTTTTAACATTGATATGGTCACTATAAAATGTTGTTAGGTTAGCTAATTACGTAATAACTTAAAACAGAAGGACCCTTAAGTAGGAACTGAATAAATTAAACGACTTGGTATTACATGGATCTCACAACTTGTTACGATAGAAGAACTGAGTTGCGAGACTTGGTTTTTTTTACAAGTTATGTTTTGATAGCATCTCATTTCTTATTGTAGATAAGATGGTCCTACTTTTTTACCTTTCCGGTACCTTCTACTACACCTGTTATACATATACAAGTACACCGATTCATTCATGCAAATGTAACTTTGTAATTCTATATATTCATATGGGATTACAAAGTTATTAACGTAGTTGGTGTATCTAGAAAACTGGACCGAAATTAACAAATATTTTAGTTTCTCCTTGATTTATACACTAAACACTAATTGTATTCTAAATTTGAAGCTTCTATGTCTGCTAGAAGTGCCTTAGAGTTTTGATGATCGGTCAGTCAGTGAGTGACAAAATTAAGAAACTTTGACTAGTTATAATTCTTAAACTACTGGTTCAAATTGAATGAAATTTGAAATATACCATTTTTATACAATGCCTACCCGGATACTGAATTCAGGCTTCTAGTTTTATTGACTACGAAGTTATAGGGGGTCGAAAATGGCCTGAATTGCTTCGAGAAAAGTATGGTACGGCCGTGCCGCTTTTTTGCTCGACTTGACGGTGGCAATGCCGTACCCCAGATATAGTGGAATCTCGATAAATCGAACCTCGTTGTTAAGTTATAATCCTCAGTAAGACTTATCAATGAAATTATTAATTGCAATTTAAGTTTCAAGGCACTCCCCTTATTGCCTCAGCCAGTATCGGAATCCTCGGCGTGGACATATCGAGTGACCTGCAGTTTCGTGGTCACTTGGAAGAGAAGCCAAATTGGTCTCTAAAAAGCTTGGCGTGCTCAGCAGAGCGGGACAGTATTTCATGCCGGCTCACTGCCTGCAGCTATAAAAGGCGCGGGTGCGGCCGCACATGGAATACTGTCCCCATCTCTGGGCCGGGGCTCCTCAGTGCCGTACGCGGAAGAAAACTCCTAGTGTAACGTACAGCGGTGGACCGCCAAGCATCCAGATGGTGTGGATGGTATTGGGTGTTTTGCCGCGACGTGTGTTCATGAAATTCTGCGAATTTTCACATCTCACATTTGAACAATTCGTCAGAGCACTCCCCTTGGTAGATGCGAAAGAAAATGCAAAGAGATGCAACATCTCTTCGCAGCGCCAGTGAATCGAGCCGATCAGAAAGCACTCGGTCGTCGACGATTCGAGCCGCTCTACACTGGCTGCGGTCAAGTGGAAGGAGCTGGCAAAGTGACTTTCAAAAAGTATTATTTATAATTCATATTGAATAATCTCTATTATCTAGAAGTTAGTGCTGTTAGTCTATGCGACTCTTACAGCTTCATCTTGTCTCAGGGCTCGCGGCCTCTCTGACTGCTCAGCTCGTGTCGGTCGATGGTTTGGGCGGTGAGAACATCCAGGAACGCGGATGTACGGTGTCAGGGATGTGAGCTGGAACGCGTCGTGCCCGTCTGCGGGTGCGACGCGTCCCATTCGTTGTCCTATTTGTGTTTGTCCCATTTAGTGTGGGTGTAGTGTCGTTGTGTGATGTGCCTGCGACGTTTGGGTCGACTGGATCGAGCGTATTGAATAAAAAAGTTTCTGTTTCTGTTTCAGCACTGGGGAGCCCCAGCCCAGAGATGGGAACAGTATTCCATATGAGGGCGAACCTGCGCCTTGTAAAGTTGCAGGCGGTGAGCCGGCATGAAATACTGTCCCGCTCTGCTGAGCACGCTAAGATTTTTAGAAGCCAATTTGGCCTTCTCTTCCAAGTGACCACGAAACCGCACGTCACTCGATATGTCCACGCCGAGGGTTCCGATACTGGCTGAGGCAACAAGGGAGTGCTCATGCACTTATATACTCAGCATTGAAGGGAAACATTGTGCAGAAACCTGCATGTCTGATGAATTTAAAATTTCAAGCACATCTGAAATCTGTCAACACAGATTGTAGCAGTATGGCGAGCCAACATCTCCATAACCCTAATATGAATGTGTGTGCCCAGCAATGGGACTTAAATTGCCTGTTACTATACTCTTGTGGGGTAGGCAGTAATTTCTCATTTTAAGAGCCATTTCACGTTTGCACGTAAAATTTATAATATTTAAGTCGCCCAATGTACCATCTCAGGTACCACTCTGAAAAAAATGTTAAATACATGTAAAAAAATAGACAAATCTTTGATCTTTGCAGTGATCAATCTCTAACAACTAGTTTACTGAAAATTAATTGCAGAGTAAATTTGAGAGATTCCAATATTTATCATTAATATTGACAAATTTGGTCGTAACAAAAATACAATAAGCAACAGGCATATAATAATGTTCTCTGGCCAAATTTTGGTCAAGGTGGCCAGTCCCAACAGAGTCTAGCCATCTGCGCAGAACAGGATTATAGTGCACTCTCCATTCCTCTCCACTCTCACATTCCGATGAGACGGTAAATCGACATGACTGGAGAAAGATTATGTGCAGGATCAACAGTTTAAATAGCTTTCCGAGGCACAAGGACGAAGTACCGCTAACTTCCTGGCTCCCTGCTGCTACTGAGAAATTCTTGACAGAAAACCCAATAACTGATTGTGACCTCACCTGGTATCACTAAGACCTCAAGATCAGACACTACCACTAGACCAATGGGGCAGTTTTGCCTGTTACTTGACTTGTGAAGTGTGATAGGGCAGTAACTTCTTCAAGGAAAAGTTGTTTAATTAACGATTCTCTGACAATTTCAAAGTTAAATACAAGAGGACATTACTAAAGAAAACTATTTCGGTGTATTCAGACAATTAGTATTAGGGTAGTAGCTGATGAAATGGGTGTTTATTGTGACAAATTAGACATGTGTTATTCATTCCTAGTGACCGAATCATTCAACTATTTATTCGTAATATGTACCGGTATATTCAGGTCGATCATTCAAATGGATCATTGCGGGCTTCAGGGTAACATTGTTTTTGCTTTGTAATAGCGCCATCTACTTTATTATATGTCACTTTATCGAACTAAACTGATTAACTCCCATGGTGATGTAGAAAAGACGCTAGATGGCATAAACACAAAATAATTTAATATAAATCGGTAAATTATGAAACCGTAGATTGTTATTACCTGTACTCCCTTTTGTCTTCTTGGGACTTCACAATATTGTCATAGCGCTTGAGCACAAATTCCGATGCGACACCGGTGTGTACCGGAGCCCGAGGGCCAGGAGGCGAAGCGCCCGGGCCACTGCCAACCGGCGGCGTCTCGCGGGGTGCGTAATGAGTGGCCATACTAGATCTCTGTCTTCGTTGGTACGAAAAGCTAAACAAAAAAATTGTTTTTCATTTATTTAAATATTTTTTCACACAAAAATACAGTCGGTTGTCTCTCATACTTCTTTCACCAAACTGCAATGCAGTTTGTTGGCGACTACATATCACAATATTTACATTCCAAGTACCTACTATAATTAATATAATGTCCTCCAGACCGAATTTCGGCCACGGCGGCCTGCCTCAACGGAGGCTAGCAATCGGCGCAAGACAGGATTATAGGATTATAATGTATGCGCAAGCACAAGTGCACTCTCTATTCCCTCACTCTCATAACCCGATAGGACGGTAAACCGACACGACCGGAGAGAGATCAGGCGCAGGACCAACGGCTTTTACGTGCTTTCCGAGGCACGGGGGTGAGGACACCGCCAACTTCCCGACTCCGGGCAGCTACTGAGAATTCCTTGACAGAAAAACTCAATAATGGATTTTTGGCCCGACCCGGGATTCGAACCCAGGACCTCATGATCAGTAGTCGCACTACTACAACCACTTGACCAACTTGAATTTAAAAGATAGAAAAATTTTACTTAGGCCACAGATTAGTAAATAGTTTACCAACTTAGGCAGTGTTATTTACACACCTTATTATATTTAAACTTATTAATAATTACACATATAAATATTAATTAAAATTATTGTTTCTAATTCAGATAATAATATCTATAATAGTTAATTACCATAGAATACTATAATACATACATAATAGAACGGGGAGTGGGCGGAGCCCGCATAACCAATAAAATGTCACTAACACGTCAATTCACATGTATAAATATCAACACGAGATGTGTTTTGACGTTACAATCGTTTCCAAATTTCGCATGCAAATTAGTTAAAAACTGCCAAATTGCACCCTATTTACAAATAAATATGTATTAAAATTTAAACGATTTTTTTTAATTATGATCTTGAACATTAATCAAAAGTCTAAAATGTGTAAATTTATTCAGTCTGTCAACACAGCGAATCGGGTTTGGCGACGCCAAACCTCGTACAAAATAAAGTTGAGAGCCATTCTATTCTATGTTAATTACTATTACACATATAATTATCGAGCAACCACGCTTTCAATCTTTCATTTAAATATCTCTTTATTACCACATTAGTCTTTAGAAAATATCACATATAAAATATGTGGTACTAGATATTTTCTCGTCCCTTTGCCGTAATAATTGTTAACCCTATGCTCATCACACTAGGGTTCTCTCCTGTATCGTGGTGGCAATTTACATACATAAATTGCACAAGGACAAATATCCAGGCCCGGAACAATTATTTGTAGGCCGCACAAATACTTGCTCCGTGCGAGATTCGAACCCGCGGCTCTTGATGCCGCTACTCATTGCTAAACCACTCCACCAAGGAGTTGACGACAAAAAGGAAAAACGCACTTAGAAAGAACTAAACAAATAAAATAGTTCCCATATAATAGCTTCCGAAGTTGGTGCCTAATAGCTTAATGCTGCTCGTCAGTAGCATCGGTAGTAGGCACATACACCTGGACTATCTGAATATTTCTGGGTTTTGCTTTTAACTCTAAAACTAAAACTCTGTCCAATATTGGTAGGAAACTGTGGACCTGATGATGTAAATGTCTGCTGATGATAACGGCCACACCGTTGTAGTGATTTTTATCATTATTACTGCTATTATACACTACTGTGTCATCCCGTACCAAGACTCCAGTTCCCTGGTGCCTAGACTCACTCACTCAAAGGATATTTATCTTAAGTCAGCATTTCCCATTCTATATTCACCATTTTATAGATGTGGTACATACTCTTGACGTTCCACATAGCAATTGTCATGGCTGACCCGGAGATTCTACGCACCCTCTGACCATCTAAGGTCTGCTGGGGTCTGAGGGCCATTTTTATATTGTTCTCAGCCATAATGATCTTCCTGGGGAAGTATATGTGGTGGTTTCCCGTTGCCTTCCACACGCTGTACTATTGCGGAACCGATGCACACCATCTCCTTCAATAGCTTCCTTTTCCAGAACAGTTCCAGCCAACTAGACTTCCTCTTCTGAAAATACTATTATGCAGCTGCCCATAACAGAGGAGTGCTTATTTACTGGCGGCACGAAATGCCAGGTCACAAGGCCATCATAGGATATTACAGCATTTATAAGCTATTCTTTCTTAAGGAATAACCACTGCATCCTAGTACCTTGTCGCTGAGTGGTCGAATGGTCGAAGATATTGTCACCACAGGTTAAAATGAGGATCGCTACATTAAACTTGTAGAGCACCAGGTTGTATGAGCATAGATCCCTTCATGCCTAAATAATAAAAAAATGAACTGTCAGTGTCATGTGTCACTGTTTTAATGCTGCTATATCTCGTAGCATGTTACATTACATGTCGTTTGTTGGATAGACCGCGTGCTATATAAGAACATTATTTCTTAATAAGTCGCATTATAGACTAAAATAAAATAAAGCAGTAAAGATAAACCAATGAACACTCTTTCATACTTTTCAGGCTTACGACTGTCTATAATCAATGTAAACATTATTTTAACCTAAATGTAAATTATAAATCAATTAAAGGTGTATTTAAAAGTTTATTGATTGTATAATCAACTATTTACATACGTTATTATATACACTTTTGTATCCATATTTTATCCTGCTTTTGTAGCAGACAACCGTGTCCTACAATCACAAATAAATATACAGTATACACTAACTAAACAACATCTAATACTAAACTAGGTCGTGCGCTACGAACAGCTTGCCACTAGATCAAATCTGTATCACACATCCACTCCTAACAGCGCTGCTGCTAGAACAAGTTGCCACTAGATACTTATAACACCAAAGCATCATAGCGCCATGGCAATTACTTACATAGCATGCACTTTGCACTATGGAAAGTTAGGACACTATAATATGATGCTATGTGCTCTATCTCTCTCGGTAATTCTCAAAACCATCATTAATCATAAGGGAGTGTGGAAATCATATACGGAAAATTGTAGTTCATGATAGGCAAAAAAAATGGTCATGTGTTTCCTCATCAAGCACACATTCACAAATTGAGCTACACTATGAAGTAGGACCCAAATCCTCAACTTTGCAAGGTGTGCTGGTGTAAGGAATGGTCACAATTATGGCGATATATAATAGAAGCAAATTGTTTATTAGCAGAAGTTTTTCTGGATACATCTGTAGTATTTACTCATGACAAGTTCCAATTTGCTCCAGGAATGTAACTCATAGGAGTGTAGCTCAGTCACCCAAGTACTTATAGTTCTAATTAAAAAGGTCAAGATGAAATTTCCACTACATGCTATCCATCCATTACAGCCTATAAAAGTCTACTGCTGAACATAGCAGCTTCCCTCACAGATTGCCTCATGGGGGGTTTGCTATAGTTGCCACACATGGAAAATGGATTGGCCTACAGTTTTTTATTATTCTGAGTGTTTATTACGAAGATGCTGGTGCCCACCTCCTCACACACCTATTTCTGACACTATTTTACTGTAGTAATATTGTATGTACTAATGTATTTTGTAAAACAATTCTAAGGTTCACTTATTATTTACTATTAAATAAAAATATTCAGAAGACAGGAAAGAATGAAGTCGACAAAAACATGTAATTAATTAATAATGTACTATTTATGACTTACAATTTTAAACTGTTAATTATATAGATGATCACTAAAAAAGGCTTTGTATTGATAACATGATTCTAACCTATTAAAACTAGCTCGGTAGGACACAGTCGGCGAGAAGCTATGGAAGCCCACTAGGAGTAATCTTCTCGATGCCAGCTTGAATGGTTTGAAGGTTCGAATAAAAATTCGTAAATTTTTATTTTTCTTCACAATAATGACGAATTTCGACTTTCGTGAAATAACAATGACACATGACACTGACAGTTCACTTTTTTTATTATGTAGACGCGAAGGGATCTATGCTCATACAACCTAGTGCTCTACAAGTTGAATGTAGCGATCCTCATTTTAACCTGCGGTGACAATATCTTGCCGATCGCTTTAAATAAAGAGTATTTTAGATATATTTCTATTCACTTCATTCTACACTGCATTTTTTAAACTTTTGTTTTAACAATACTAACTATTGAACGATAAAGAAGTTTCGTGTAATCTTAAAAGCTATCAAAAGGTAATCTAAACTTTTTTTTAAATTTCCCGAATTTCAAAAAATGATCAACCCAGATCAACCCTCCAGTTATTTAGACTTTAGTGTGACTAAAAATTCTCAACAAAAATTTATTATATAGTACATTAAGTGAAAAATTGGAAGGGTGGCTAACTTTTTCAACCCATTCCGAAGTAAATGGTTTCTAATTATTATAAAAATAAAGCTGCACTGTTTAAATGTTTTTGTAAAATTATTAACTTAAAACTCGCTTGGCTGCCAAATTATAGTGGCCCTTTTCGCGTGGCGACTTAACGTATCGTGGTTGACAAAGGCCTAAGGGCCGATTTAAGGCATTGTGGTAGATTGTCATGTAGAATGATTCGCTAATAAATTGAAAAATAAGCACTGTTTGTACTTTTCTTACCACGTTTTTATTAAGTCACTTGTTTGACTGTCTATCAGTCGTTCCGGATGGAATTTTACTACTCAAACTTCGAGCACCTCTCGATGAACTAGAGACGAGAAAAAAACGGGGTATATTTTTTTAATACAAATTTAAAAAAAAACCTCTTCTTTATCTTTATATTATCTATTTAACAACATAGATTCAACATAGAAAACAACATAAATTAAAGACAAGGCCGTAATGCGTAGACTATGGAGTGTAGAGGTATAGTCCGTTTCACGAAAGAAGTTCCTCCAAAAAATGTGCGAACTAAAATTTAATGTATGGAATTTGACACCAGATGTCAAACTTTGCAAAGACTGTGATGCCGCGGCTAAGCAATAGAGATATAATACATATGGATGCGGCGTATTCTACTATAGAAATA